TTGAGGTCAGCCTGGGCTACAGAATGAGATGCTGTTGTAAAATAAACAAATAGCAATGTATAGTCAAGAGACTGTTGTTTGTTTGCTGAGGCAGTGTCTCATTCTGTAGCCTAGGCTGATATTGAACATTTGGCACTCCTGCCTTAGCCTTTGAGTGCTGAGATTACAAGTGTGAGCCACTGGGACCACTACTGACTAGAAATTTAGTTTTTAAAACTTAAAAAACAAAAACAAAAACAAAACCTCTAAGGATAAAAGCCTTTTCTAATACACATTCTGCCATTCAACTGTTCACTTTCTGATCTTCCCTTCAGCTTCTACGCCTTGTCAAGAAATTATACAGGGGACTGGGTGCTGGTTATATTAAAATTTTGTAGACTAGGCAATTGAATCTGTAAGAAGGTTCCCATAAGTGAGTTAAAGCACTCAGAGTGGTGCCTGGGGCGTGATACTCACTCTCTAGGAGCAAGTTATTGTTACTGACATTTATTATTATCCCTGGGGCTAATCTCTGGGAGCCGGTTCTTTGTCCTAGGCTTGGAAATGGGTCCTCTCACTCATCCTCTGTTCTAGGTGCTGGAGGCCACAGCTGCTCTGTATAATCAGGATCTATCTCGACTAGAGCTGCTCCCAGGAGGGCTCTTGGAGAGTCAGGGGGACCCTGGACCCCTGTTCAGCACTATTGTTCTTGACCAGTTTGTGCGGCTACGAGATGGTGACCGCTACTGGTTTGAGAACACTAGGAATGGGTAAGGCCTGCCTAGACCCCACCTCAGACTCTACCTGCCCTGCCCTAGACAGCCCCCACAAACCCTCTGGGTGTCTTTTCCCATGGGGTCCCTGGGTGTGGAGACCTACATCTCTCCCCAACCAGGACAGCTCCACACTGCTCCTATGTCCAGGTTGTTCTCGAAGGAAGAGATTGCAGATATCAGAAACATTTCCCTACGGGACATTCTAGTGGCTGTCACTAATGTGTCTTCCAGTGCCCTGCAGTCTAATGTCTTCTTTTGGCTTGCAGGTAAGTGACCAAGGGATGGCTAGAGGTGTGTGAGTCCAGGGCCTTGCTCCTCCTTAGTTATAGGCTCGGGTTGGTGTGTCCGAATAACCACTTTGAGTGGGGTGTGAGCTAGGGTTCTACCTTTGGGAACTTTGGTTCAGGGTGCCAGCACTGTCACATACAATTTCCTTCTGTACAAGCCCAGGAGGTGCTGAATGGGGAAGGGACTGACTCTCAGAGACCTGGTGAGGACTCCTATATTCAGCTAGGATGGGGTGGGGGCTTCCAGTGGCCTTAGGAGGGTCAAATAAGGTGAGGTTATCCTACTCCCAGCAGCCATAGGACTGTGCCAGAGCTTATGGCCCAGTACCCAGTACTGACTTCCTCTGCTTCCCCAGGAGACCCCTGTCCACAGCCAGGTCAGCTCAGCACCAAGGATCTGCCAGCCTGTGTCCCTTTCTTCATTCGGGACTATTTTGATGGCAGTGGATTTGGCTTCGGGCTTACCATTGGGACCCTATGCTGCTTCCCTTTAGGTAAGAGTGATGGGCAGACAGGGTGGAGATGTTGAGAGGTCAAACTAGAGGGTGGGTCAGGGTTGTTTCATGTATGACAGTAAACCTTACAGAGTACTGTCCCTCTGGGTAGACAAGAAAAATGAGGGCTTCAAAGGGGACAGGAGAGGTGTCTAGCTCATTTATCATGAGCTTCAGGGAGATTTGCTTCCCTGATCTGGGATCCCCACCCCCCTCAGGGCACAGCTTGGTCAGGAGCCTGGGTGAGTCCCTGGTCCACAGTTGTTTGCAGGATCCTGAGTCTGGGGGACTGTTAGTGATAAATCCTCACTTGAAAAGAAGACCTGGGGCAAATGCAGTGCTGGAACAAGAGCTTGGGACTTAGTCTTTGGCAAGGCTGTGTGTGGATGGCCCAGCAGCTTGGTAGGGTGAGTCCAACCTGTGGCTTGAGGAATCTGAGCTTGTCCCTTGCTCGGAGGGGAACTGAATAGTGGTAGCAGTAATGGCAGGACTGGTATCTTAGACACTACCCAAAGCTTCCCATGGGATGCAAAGTAGCTCTTTCCATGGTGCCTCACAATTTGAGTTGAGCAGCAGGAGAGCTAAGAGGTAGGGAAAGCAGGGGATCTTCCTAAGGAAAGGAGTTGGGAAGGGAGCCACTTTTCCCAACCCTCACCTTTCCCTGAGCATCCTACCCCACTTCCCACCCAGTCAGCTTGCTCAGTGCCTGGATTGTTGCCCGACTTCGAATGAGGAATTTCAAGAGGCTCCAGGGACAGGACCGCCAAAGCATCATGTCTGAGAAGCTTGTGGGAGGAGTGGAAGGTAGGCCTGGGGGTAGCCAAGGTGGTGATGGGAAGGATGTGGATGGTCCCTACTACCATCCAGAAGTCTAATAAGATAAAGGCTTCTTTTTTTTAAGGGCCATAGGCAAGACCTAGTTAGGCTGGGAAAGCCACATTAGACCTGCAGTTTTCCAACCTCCATAGCTCCTCTCAATGATCCTAAATAAATGGAATGTGATACACTTGTGGAAGAGTCATAAGATCCTGCCTTCATCTCACAGGGTTACTATGAGTCACAAATCCCTGACTCCTTTACTGCATCTCACACCAGAATTATAGGCAACAGATTAATGAAGGCCTAGAATCAGGCCAGGATTGGAATCTTGGTTCAACCACTTTGGGCTGGCTGTTGGACCTTCAGTAGACTTTTAAATCTCTCCAAACCTGTTTCTTCTTACCTGTAAAACAGGAATAATAACAGCACCTACATCATAGGTTTGTGATGACATGAAATAGTTCATTCAAAACACTATCGTGGGCACGCAGTATAAGTACTCAGGAAATAGTGGTCATTTTTCTCCTCATAGGATAGAGAAACAGCAGAACTGGTGGAGAGGGAGAATGACCTTCAGGACTCAGAAAGGAGTCTAAGACCTGCGGAAAGTCTTGCTCTAAGTTCAGCCCTGAGCTGGCCCTCTCTCTCCCACTGTGCCCTGGTACATCCCAGTTGACCCAGCCATGTCTTTCTATCCCCAGCTTTGGAATGGCAGGGCCGAAAGGAACCCTGCAGGCCTGTGCTTGTGCATCTGCAGCCGGGGCAGATCCGTGTGCTAGATGGCAGGCGCACAGTGCTCCGTACTGTCCAGTTGCGGCCTCCACAGCAGGTCAACCTTGTTCTATCCAACAATCGTGGACGCCGTACCCTGCTGCTCAAGATCCCCAAAGAGTATGACCTGGTATGGTCCAACTGGTCCCTGGCTGCTTTTCCACAGTCACAGACATAAGGTGGTTAAGTGGAGGGGAAGGAACACTGAGCCAGAAGGCAGGTTTCTGGTCTCTAGTCACTGGATGTGGTGCCTGATGGAGAAATAAACTTGAACATGCCTGTCCTGTTCTGGGCCTGCTGGAAGACACGGTCTCCTCCTCTTACTCTTGCAGCTACTGGGAGTCTTCTTTGCTTAAGATGCTCTTAAAAGTCCTAGCTAGGAGTTCTTGGAAGAAGCTGGGTCCTCTTCTTTATCCTGTCATTTCAGGCTCTAGTAGATGTTTAGGGATTTGGAGAGGAGCAACACAGGAAGCTGATTAGATTCTGACCACCTGGCACACAGTCCCTTCTACCCTCTGCCCCCTGCCTCTCACTCCCTTCTTCAGTACAGAGTCCAGGGAAGAAAAGCTTTGTACAAAGACCTTTGAATGCTAACTCTGCACCTGTAAGCAAGCCACTTAAGCTCATTTGCACTTCTGTAAAGGGAGAGATAATTTCTCTTTTGCAAGGCCATCCCAATAACCCCTGTGTAATCTACATAAAGTGCCTAGCCTTGAGAAGCTCTGACAAATGTTTGGCTTTGTTCCTGATACCTTGTAGGTGCTGTTGTTTAATCTGGAGGCAGAGCGGCAGGTGCTGGTGGAAAACCTCAGGGGGGCTCTGAAGGAGAGTGGGCTGAGCTTCCAGGAGTGGGAGCTGCGGGAGCAGGAGCTGATGAGGGCAGCTGTGACTCGAGAGCAACGGAGCCACCTCCTTGAGACATTTTTCAGGCACCTTTTCTCCCAGGTGGGTATATGAGATCAGAATGAAGTGTGTACGTGCAAGTGGTGGTGTCCTTACCTGCATGAGTAAGGATAATTCCTGGGCAAATCAGAAGTTCTGAATTCCAGCAGACAATCAAAGATGCTATGATTTAGGTCATGTCACCAGACTTTTATGCTACTGGAGTCCTAGGCAAGAGGCCAGAATCTGGAGGGGCTGGGTGTGCCCTAATAAATTGGGATTGGCCACTTGCCCCACAAATCAAATGGAAAGTCAGGGAAAGAATCTAATCAACAAAACCATGTCAGAAAGACAGAGACCAAACATCTCAGCACCATCTTTGGGGGTACTGACATGTGCTTCCTGATTATATAAGGAAGGGACAGACGTGGGGAGCAAGAGGCATGCATAGTTTATCAGTCTAGGTCAACTGTGGTCTAGTTGATCAGTATCTCAGTTTTAGTTCTACAAGTTGGCTCCAGAGAACTTGTTACCACTTGTCACTTAAGGAGACAAGAACAATCTGGTTCCCATTAAATGATTTCTTTTGCTTAAGGGGGTAGCCTAAGTCCCCATCTTAAGGAACTTGCTTCTGTTTAGTTTCATCATTGTTGATCTCTCTGTAGGTGCTACTGTTCCTGAAATCCAAGGTGACTGCAATTTTAGGGTGAAAACTAGGGATTTTCAGGCAACTTATTAGGGATCTAGAACAGGATATAAAATCTGGCTGTCAAATATCATAGTTACTTTTATTTTGGTGTCTTCCATCTTGAAAAGGGATGCGCTAGATTAGGTAAATGTAGGGCTAAGGAACCTAGTGTCACCAGTTTTTAGACAGACACTCCTTAAATGATTAGCATGCCTATGAATCCAAACTCAGCAAGAATCTGACCCAAAGTAAAAAAGACACACAAAATAAAGGCAGAGATGCCAAGATTTATTCTTCTTTGAGGCATCTGTAGGCCCAAGTGGTACTTTTCAGCAAAAGCAGCCTCTGAGCCCTTGTTACATTTATTGCAAGGAGGGGTCCCTACCCATTTGGATCCTGACCCCTTCTGTAAGCTCCAGGGAGGCAATGTGCGGGAATGAGGCAGGGCAAACCAGGCACTGTAGGGGCCTTCTTCATGGAGTATAGCTGCCAAGGGCCAACATAGGGTATTAATGTTTACCATGTGGACTTCTGAGAAGTATTGGGAAGATGTGGAGAAATAAGATAGATACAAAGAAAAAAAATTCCTAGACTGACGTCTACTTTTGGGGGGGGGGGGTTGTTAGCCTGAGCCTTTAATGGCCGAGCTATCCCTTCAGCCTGATGTCTACTTCTAATTCAAAAATAAAGGCATCCTGGCAGAGCAACGGAGTAGAGATATGACCTGAAATACAGCCGGGCATGGTGGTATACACCTGTAATCCTAGCATTGGGGATCAGGAGTTCAAGACCAGCCTGGGCTATATAGTGAGACCCTGTCTCAAAACCCATGGTTATCTGTGGATGTAGTTCAGTAATAGAGTGCTCACCTGCCTAGGTTCCATCCCCAGCATGGGGTGGAGGTGGGTAGACATAAATACTGCCTGCATTTCCCACTTAAGTAGTTGAACATTCCATTGGGACGGTGATATGTGCACACAAAGGACTGGTAAAGGATGAGGGTTATAAAAGTGATCCAGGAAACACATGGTCTAGGATTTCCAAAAAGATAGTGAGTTTTGAAGCAAGTGTAAGGTGATGATGGAGGTGAGATTTGGCAAGGACTCATAGTTGGAAAAGTTTGGGCTCAGGAGAAAGGAATGGAGCAGAAGAGCACTGTGGAAGGGAGAAAATTAATGTTTGAACAGGAACAAAGGTATCCAGCAGGAGTGAGAACTCACTATCATTTAATGGGCATGTGTATACTCTGTGCCAGATTTAACGCTACAAGTTGAATACTGAGTATGCACAAAAACCAAGAGGCCTTCAGTCTGGGATCTCCTTACCAGGGCCCAAGTAGAACCTGGGCACCTCTACTAAGTTCAGTATTCATTAGGATGAAGGGAAGCCCTTGTTTTGGAAAGTGAGTAAGATGCTGGATCCTGGGGATGGCTGTCAATCCCTGGTAACTGTCCTATACTTTCCATTTTGAAGTCATTTCCTATATAGCCTCTCTTGTTGATTTTCATAATAACCCTGTGAGATAAGTAGGTGAGGAAATGAGCCCCAGACAACTAAAGAGATGTGCCCAAGGTCATGCAACACACAGGTGGCAGAATTGGGACATGAACCCAGGTCTCTTGCCTCCGGTCCCAGGCTCTTTCCACTAAAGTACCTGTCTGAAGCTGCAGTGTTTCTCTCATGAAAACACAACCAGGCTTGGACTAAGCAGCTGTTGATAGGCAGGAAAAACAGGTACTGTGACTTGTGGCCTACCTGCTTCCCTCACTGTCTATTCTCTTGCTTGGGCAGTCCTCAGGTGAGATGGAGATGGCCTCTAATGAGAATTCTCTCCCAAACCCAGCTCAAACCCTTTTAGATGTAAGAAAGACATAAAGGATTCAGATAGTCTTGGGAATTCCAAAGGGAGGACTTCAGCATGGCCTGGAAAGGTCTGTGAGAGAAAGTTTCTCTCTTAGACTACTTCCATTTTCTCTGACTCTTCTTTCTCCCGTGTCTCTGAGCACACAGAGGAAAAGGATAGTCCATATATTGTGCCAGGTCGGAATACATCTGGGATCTCTTGGTTCTAATTCCAAATCCCAAGCTGTGGTCAAATGTGCATCCTTGATCCAATCAGCTATGGCAGAGGACCAGGACTCTTCGGTATAAATATAGACAGCCCCAGGAGCTACCCACAGACCTGGGCTGCTTATGGGAGTGTGTGCTGGACAGATGCCTCTGAATGCATCTCCTCCAAGGTTCTACCAGCCTGCAAGTAAAGGAAGTCTTCTGTCTTTCTCTCCCTCCCTCTGTGGCTGCCCAAGTATAGGTGTTGGACATCAACAAGGCAGACGCAGGGACCCTGCCCCTGGACTCATCCCAGAAGGTGCGGGAGGCCCTGACCTGTGAACTTAGCCGGGCCGAGTTTGCTGACTCCCTGGGCCTTAAGCCTCAGGACATGTTTGTGGAGTCTATGTTCTCTCTGGCTGACAAGGATGGCAATGGCTACCTGTCCTTTCGGGAGTTCCTGGACATCCTGGTGGTCTTCATGAAAGGTGAGAGAGGAGAAAACAATCATCTAGATAGAGGCCAAAGTGCAGCCTGTGGGAAATGGAGAACACTTGGACCATTGTAGATGCCTGGGAATTTGGATAAGGGGTTCTAGAAGATGGGTAGGGGCTTCCTCAGAGTCCTTCTTCCAGGTTCCCCTGAGGAAAAGTCTCGCCTTATGTTCCGCATGTATGACTTTGATGGAAATGGCCTCATTTCCAAGGATGAATTCATCAGGATGCTGAGGTTGGTCTTCGACAACACTCTCGGGAATATCCAGGACAAGGATTGCCAGGGGAAGGAGGGCCCATCAAAGGGACAGCAGAAGTGTAAAGTGGAAGTAGGAGCCTCCTCCTTTCTTTGGAACCAGAGCCTTCTAGAACTGGTAGGGGGCTTAGGATTCAGCTGGCAGGGGCCCTATCATATGGGCCCTGAAGATCTGGCAGGATGGTCAGTGAGCCTTTGTATCTGAGCCTGGTGGCTCCCCTCCCTTGACCCTAGGTCCTTCATCGAGATCTCTAACAACTGTCTGTCCAAGGCCCAGCTGACTGAGGTGGCAGAGTCTATGTTCCGGGAGTCAGGCTTCCAGGACAAGGAGGAGCTAACATGGGAAGACTTTCACTTTATGCTTCGCGACCATGACAGTGATCTCCAATTCACACAACTGTGTGTCAAAGGTACTGCTGACTTATCAGGCACAATGCCTATGTACTTTTAGGACCCCACAGAAATGTTGTAAGTTATTTTAAAGCCAGAAACAAAGAATGAATATAATGATGAACATGTAATACAGCCAGCTTGGATTATATCCTCCCTTATATACCCACATAGTTAACAAATAACATTCTAATTTATTTGTATTTGTATTGAGAAGAGGCCCAAGAAGATAAAAGTATCTAGGATCCATGAATGTAGCCCTGCTGTTGGGGTGGGTGGCGTCAGGATGGGGTGGGAGACTTTTGTTTGTTTATTTGAGACGGCCTTGCTATGTATAGCTCTGGCTGGCCTGGAACTTTCTATATAGACCAGGCTGGCCTTGAACTTGTGGCAACCCTCTTGCCTCTACCTCCTAAGTGTTGAGATAACAGGTGTGTGCCACCTCGCCTGACCTGGAGTGGGAGATGTTGTCTGGGGCCCTGCTTCCCCAGGATCTTTGATAAATCCACCCCGCCCCTGTGCCCCTAAGCTTAGTACCCAGAGCAGGGAGGAAATACTGTGGCCTTGTTACAACCCCACCTGAGCCAAGCCACATTCTCTTCAACTTGGATATAAGGTTTTGGACGTAGTGTGGTATATCTCTTGGCGAAGTGCTCAACAAATCTTTGCTGAGTGCATCAAGGACCAACCTTGTTGTCCTTCCCACTATGTTCTGCCCTACCTGTGTCTGACTCAAGAGGGTGGAGGCCAGAGTCTGAGTGAGGAAGGGACAGGTAGCAAGCAGGAGGATCTGTGTGTGGCCTGCTCTGAGCTGTCACAATGTCTTCTTAGCTTGAGATACTCATTGAGGCATGTAGAGACAGAACCCAGTCCCTCCCAGGATTATGAGAAGAGTGGGGGCTGGAAGCACCCCTGGGGAATAATAGCAAGTTAGGCAAGATGTAGAAGAACCTCTGGCCCCGAGAGTGAGGGATGCTGGTGAAGAGGAACACAACACTCCTGATTCTGCAGCTTTACCCCTTTCCCACGTAGCCAAGTCAATGGACACCTGGGCCTGAGGGCAGAGGCCAGGGAGGCACCTGGCCATGAGCCAGGCCACAGAGGCCCAGGGACATTCAGCCCTGTAGGACTAGGCAGAAGACTGGAGATTAAGCAGAAAGCATGGTGTGTTGTCTTGTTTCACTTTTAATCATCAGTATCCTTTGTTATTTCCTCCCGATTTTAAGATTTTACATGACAGGATAAAAAACACAGGAAAACTGCAAACAATCCTTCACTTTCACCTGGCTTTGATACTGATCACTATTTTGCCACATTTGCTGTTTCCTGGACCATTAGGGAATATAGGCATCTGTACTGTATTAGTTACTTTCTTTTTGCTGCAATAAAATGCCATGACTAGAAGGAACTTAAGGAAGAAAGTTTCTTTTGGTTTATGGTTAAAGGGTTAGAGTTCACAATGGCAGGGACTGCAGCAGATGGCTGGAACAGGAAGCTGGCTGATGGCATTTGGTCTGCACACCAGGAACCAGTGAGAGAAAACTGGAAGAGAAAACTCAAAGCGGCCCCTAATGACACACTTCCTCTAGCAAGGCTCCACATCATAAAAGTTCTATGACTTTACCAAACAGCGCCACCAACTGGGGACCACCTTTTCTTTTAAACACTTGAATTTGGAGCTGGAGAGATGGTTCAGCAGTTAAGAGCACTTGCTGCTCTTGCAGAGGATCTGAGTTCAGTTCCCAGCACCCACGTGGCAACTCACAACCTTCTGTAATTCCAGTTCCAAGGGATCTGATGCCCTCTTCTGGCTTATGTGGGCACCAGGCATGTACGTGGTACACATACATATATCCAGGCAAACACTCATACACATAAAATGAAAATAAATCTTTAAACACTTGAATTTCATTTAGATTAGTTTACCATAAGCCAAGGACATCTCCAGGATAGGTTCAGAACTTGAAAGTGCCCTGGAGACTTCAGGCTTCCTTTAAGATCTTGGATTTACAACTGGGCCTTGCCTTTCTCAGTGCTCAGCCCAGATAGGAACTATGAAATGGGGCTTCTCTAGCATTTTATTATGAACATTTTCAAACACATAAAAGAAAGAATTTGAGTGATCTCCTATATAACTATCATCTACAATTGGGTCTAATTCCCACTGGGGCTGGGGGCTTGAGGCTAGGATACCCAGAGGCAGGGCCTCCTCTGGATAGGAACTCTCTACAGGTTTGAACATAGGAAAGATGGGGCACTGCACCTTGAACTGGACTCTCCTGGACTCTGGACTCTGAGCTGCTCCCTAACCAGGCTCTGCATTGCAGGGGTAGAGGTGCCTGAAGTCATCAAGAACCTCTGCCGGCGAGCTTCCTATATCAGTCAGGAGAAGATCTGGTGAGTGTCCATCTGAGTATTGCCATTTTGCTCTCTATAATGGCTGGTGTTGGGGCCACCACTGCCCTACGTAGTGTCCTCATACAAACTAGATGATGGCCCTTCTTTAAGTGGACACAATCCAGCACCAGGGTGAAAAAGGAAAGCCTGCCGAGTCTGAGCAGAGCTCACTTACTGCCTGGGCCAGATGCCCTTATAAAATAGGACATAGGCATAAATGGAGGCCTCAGCTGGGAATCCCAAGGATCGATCTATCTATCATCCATCTATCTATCTATCATCTATCTATCTATCTATCTATCTATCTATCTATCTATCATCATCATCTCTATCTCTGTCTACCTACCTATCATCTATCTATTCCATCTGTCTGTGGGAATCCTGCTGTCAAGAGTTCTGTTATTTTCTGGAAACAGTGGGTTTGGAAGCAGAGCACAGGCAAGGATCCAACCATCCATCCATCCATCCTTCATCCATCCATCCATCCATCTATCCATCTATCTGTGGGAATCCTGCTGTCTTTTTTGGACAAAGTGGGTTTGGAGGCAGAACAATAGCAACAGGTGACCAAAATCTTACCTCATGCCAATTCCTTCCTAGTCCTTCTCCCAGGATGAGTGCCCACTCTTCCCGAAACAGTATCAAGTCTGAGTTGTCACCACAGAGACTGCAGTGCCCCATGGACACAGACCCTCCTCAAGAGATTCGACGGAGGTTTGGCAAGAAGTAGGTCTGCTTTGGCTTTGCAGCCTGTGCATCCCTTCAACAACCATTCATTCATTACATGATGCTGGGCACTATGCTCAACACTGGGGTGCTAGCAGAGAAACTGTTTCTGCCCCAGAATGGCCAAGTGCATCTGGTGCACTAACCGTTACAATGCCCTTCTGATGAATGTTGGAATGGTGGGAAGAATGAGGGTGCTTCAGAGCTCAGGGACCCTCTCTCATCTCTGCCTGAGAAGTTAGAGGAGTCTTCATGGAGGAGACACCATAGAGCCTTCTAAAGGCTGACTGTGGGTGCCTGGTGGGAGTTGGGAACTACAGACAGGGAGGAGGAGGGGCTGTCTGTGAATGGACCCTGGAGTAGATGGAGTGCCTCCCTGGGGATGAAATAACCACTTGGAGGCTGGCTCTCAGCTGACAGCTAAGAGGCAGTCAGTGGAGCTCTGGGGTCTGAAACCTGCTTCTGCATGGGGCGCAGCCCCTGGCTTCTTAGAGGCTCCTCAGGAGTAGTGGGTCTCCACTGGTGTTGAGTCCCACTGGCCCAAGGCTGAGGCTTTCTGTCTCCTAGGGTAACTTCGTTCCAGCCTTTGTTGTTCACTGAGGCACACCGAGAGAAGTTTCAGCGCAGCCGTCGCCATCAGACGGTGCAGCAGTTCAAGCGCTTCATTGAGAACTACCGGCGCCACATCGGCTGTGTGGCGGTGTTCTATGCCATCACTGGGGCACTCTTCCTGGAGAGGGCCTACTGTGAGTGACATTGATGGCAAGCCTGGGGTACTTGGCAGGCCTCAAGAGAGTTCCCCAAGGGTGGGGTCTGTTGTGAGTGACATACAGCCCATGGGGCAGGGCCTGTGGTAAGTAACTACCCTAGTAGCAGGGTTGTTTGGGTGACTGACTAGGTAAGTGGGGCCTCCTAGAATGGAGACTGTGCGGGGCGGCCTGTTATGAGTGGCAGTTACCCAGGGTCTGCGGCTGATGACCTACTTAACCTGCTGCCCTCTGCACTGTTTCCCCTCTGCAGACTATGCCTTTGCAGCACACCACAGGGGCATCACTGACACCACCCGAGTGGGCATCATCCTGTCACGGGGCACAGCGGCCAGCATCTCCTTCATGTTCTCCTACATCCTGCTCACCATGTGCCGCAACCTCATCACCTTCCTGAGGGAGACCTTCCTCAACCGCTACATTCCCTTCGATGCCGCAGTAGACTTCCATCGCCTCATTGCCTCTACAGCCATCGTCCTCACAGGCAGGGGCTGCTCTTCTGGGGTTCTCTGAGAACCTTCAGCCTTTGTTGGCTTTTTGCCCTCTGGTGGCTCACTCCTCTACCTGCACTTAAGTTTAATATTAATTTTGCATGACCTTATAAGGATGGAATTGGTCAGGATGTGGGGTGAAATAAGCCCAGGAGCCCACACTGCCCTAAGTGGCTCTTCTCATCCTTTCAAGAGCACCCTACCCCTAGCTTCCAGCTGATGAGCTACACCCCAGCACAAGCGTACAAAGTATTGTTCTCCTAGTTATTGTGTTTTAAAACAACTCTGTGAAAGAAATCAAAGGAATCAGCTTGTGGTCATGGGTAGAATGGGGAAAGACCAGGAACGTATTAGAGATCAGCAGTCCAGATCCCAAGGGTCCTTTTTCAGGCTTCCATGTCTGTTTGGCAGGATTTACCACTTGAATGTGCTGTCCTCCCTCACTGGGCTATCCCAGGGCTCATTACTCCCTTTTGGTCTTTCTTAGTTTTACACAGTGCTGGCCATGTGGTGAATGTGTACCTGTTCTCCATCAGCCCACTCAGCGTCCTTTCTTGCCTCTTCCCTGGCCTCTTCCATGATAATGGGTGAGTGTGTTGGGAGTGGGGATTCCTTGCAAGTAGAGGACAAATCCTCTTGACCCAGAGGAGAATAACACCTTCCAAGTTCTGGGCTAGACAGACAATGGCCAACCTGAGCCATCAGTCCCAAGTCAGCAGAAAGGGAGACTGGGGACTGGCTTGGGGCATCTCCTCTGGGAGACATCGAGAGAATGTCTCTCTGAGACATCGAGAGAATCTTATCAGGACTCTTCCTTGCTGTGCTTTCCACACAGATCTGAGTTCCCCCAGAAGTACTACTGGTGGTTCTTCCAGACTGTACCAGGTGAGGTCCCCTCTTTCAATGTCCAGGGCTGTCTCTGAACTCCAGGAACTGGGTTCTATCTGTCACTGAACAGCCAGACTCACTCGGTTCTCATGGTGAGGAGAACACTCCTGGACAGCAGGAGACTTAAGGGACTAAAATCCAGTTCTTCCCAACCCAGGGATCATTTCTTCCCTAGGAAGAGCTTACAGGCCCTTATTCAGCACTAATTCTCCGAGGAATGGGAGCAGGGCCTTCCCTACAATGCACACACAACAATGACAGTAGCTTTGAGGAATGCTGTGCCCCAGCTGCAAGGGGGAGGGACCAGGCTTTTATCAAGCCAGACAATAGCCTCTGCCCACCCTACAGGGTGTCTTGACAAAAGCTGTGTGGGGACATAGTCCCAGCTTCCTAGAATCACCCATTTTAGAGCTATTAGCTGTGAATCTATTCAAACTCTTGGAAGCTGCTTCTCTTTTCAGTCTGTTCCCTCCTCAGGGTGATGTGTTTTACACACACTCTCCTTTCTGTGAAACACAGCATGGATTTTTAAATTTTTTTAAATCCTAAAATGCTCTGCTTTGAACTTCAGAGGGTACTTGCTGACTGCTGCACACTGGGACTTGGTGGATAAGTCTGTGTTTAAGCTCTCCGCTCCTTTCAGGACTTTACAGGCTGTGGTTCAATCCCTTCTTAACCTTTGCTTTTCTACATGGCAGGGCTCTAATCTTCCTAATTATTGCCTCTCTCCTCCTTGATCACCAGAGGGACTATTCTGTGCCCCGCCCTCCGAACCCGCTATCCTGGCTCCATCGTTACCCCCTGTGTACCCCTGGTCTGGGATCCTCTATGAAAGACAGGTTTTTTGTTTTTTTTTTTTATCAACTCCAGGCTGGACAAGAGGCTCTGGCAGTGAATAGGGACAGTGTGGTCCCAATCATGCACTAATAGGTCCAGAGTTTGTGTTATGTCCTATGACAACTGCATGGAGTAGTGAATGCAGCTTTGACTCCATGAAGGCGGAGGCTGAAATTTCCAGTGTCTGACCCAGAGATTCCAGAGTAGACACCTGTGCATTCATTCATTTAGCACACATTTATATAAGGCCTACAGTATGCAAGAGGATTAGTTGTGAGACAGCCTAGTGTGATCCTTGTTCTTGAGGACCTGAGGTCAGGAAAGAGACAGACATTGAAAACAATGTGATGACAGGTAGAAAGGATCACGTCTATGGAGGATGAAAGAGATCTGTTGGAATTAAAGATACCTGTGACCAGAGGGTGTTGGGGGTGGGAGAGAAACAGAGATGCCCCCTAAGTCAGAGACCACTTTACCACCCCAACTTTGGGCAGAGGAGTGGAAAGTGACCCTGGCTGGATACCTCAGAACACAGGCTGCACACAGCACTGCCCTTCTGCCCTCCTCCTCTCTTCACAGGCCTCACCGGGGTCTTGCTGCTCCTGGTCCTGGCCATCATGTACGTCTTTGCCTCCGACCACTTCCGCCGTCGCAGTTTCCGGGGCTTCTGGCTGACCCACCACCTCTACATTTTTCTCTACATCCTGGTGAGGGCTTTTGGCTGTGAGCCAGGCCAGTGTGATGTGTGCAGACATTCCCAGAGAGACAATGAGGGCTGGAACATTAGCTTTCTATCCCCTTAGCTATTTCAAGTATTCATTTCTTCATATCCCTCTTCAAGGATAGAGATTATAGAGTGGGGCTCCCCAGGAGGCTGACCCCAATATGTAACTCTTGGAAGATCCTTCCCTGGAATGGGTGTTTTTGGTAGCAGCCCTGCCAGACTCATCCACATGCCTCACAGACTCCCCCACATCAGTTCTTCCCTGTCTTTCCCCGCCTTTTGGTGGCTGCTTTTGGATCCTGATTGCTTATTCCTCAAGGGGTGTGTGTGTGTGGGGGTACTCTTTTAGAGAAACTTAAATAGATTCTAGTACTTTTGTTCTAATCTCATTTGGGGGTGTATTAACCATACCACCCAGCAAAATGCCACCCGAACTGCTGATTCAATGGACTTTCAGACTCTACCTCTCCTGTTTCCTTCTTAACCTGGGCTCCGTGTCTTCCTTCCTTCACACTCTCCCTCTTCTTCTGTTCCCTTTACTGTCCTCCATGTTTGTCATTAGCTGATTCCCTTACTCTTGAGCTGACTTTGACCTAAGACCCTGTGCAATCACACTGCTTGCCAGTCTTCTTTAGGGACACAGTGTCCCCAAAGTGTACCCTGAGGGCCTAGCTGAGAAGCTAAACCAAGTCCTAAGGCCCCCACTTTTCCCACAAGTTGATAGCTTGTCTGCTGGCATTCAGGGAGCCTAAAGCCTCTATGACTGGTCTCTTTATCTTCTGACCTAACTGTACACAGGGGTCTCCTTTGTTCTGAGACAAAGAGTTCATCACTGCCTGGGTCAGGCTGGCTCCTGTTATTCCCACCTGCCTACTCCAGGTGTGGCTCTGTCCTCACTGATAGCTGGAAGGACACCTTGCCTGTAGCTCAGCACTCTGTGACCCTGAAGTAACTATCTGCCTTGGCTTAGGATATTTCCTAGAATTGCTGATGTTTGTTTCCAAAAATTAGTTCCCTTCTTTGGGAGCTGTGACAAACTTCCTCTCTCCCCATCTATCCAATAATGGTTGGAGCCTAGCCTGCTGGCTACTGTTTCTGCTAAAAAAAAGTTCATGTTCCGGTGAGAAAGCAGCTTCTTTAAACTAGTGGGAAGACCCATAAGAATGGTCAGTTTAGTTCTCTATGTCCAGGACTGCTTTCTGAGTTATTCCTGGGTTGTTGACATTGCTGGGATTCACAGGAAAGGGACTCAGAAAGGCACAGGCTTCTGCTGGGCAGTCCTAGCTTGGCAGGTGGGAAGCGTCTTACCTGTGGGGAGAACAGGGCTAAAGCACCCCCTTCTCACTTATCATAGGGAGGCGGAGGGAGGTTGACTTTGGGTAGAAAGTTGTAAGTAAAGAACCCTGGCATAGAGTTGACCCTAGGAAGAATGTCTAGGCTTCTAATCCAGGGCTTATACCTCAGATACTGAACCACTCCACCACCCAGGCTCCTCAGCTAACCAGGAGTTGGCTGAAACTTTGTGGTTTAAAAGTAAAGCAACCCAATATAGGGTGTGTAAACAGAAGTATGTTGTCACTCTGACATTGTATTCAGCTTGGCTGGAAGCTTTGGCGCCTGGGTGGTGGGTGTGAGTGCCACAACGAAAGGCACTCTTAGAATCAGCTCTGAAAGCTTAGAGGTGTAAGTTAGTCCTGTGGGGAAAGGCTACAAAATTGGGAACTCTCAACTGGGGAAGGGATTCCTGAACAAGGACCCCAGTTCCGTTGGGCAGGTATCATTGGAAGGTCTCTTCTGTACTCGCTCTGTGGGAGGTCCAACAGAGGTGGGAACTCTAACCCCTGCTTTTAGGAATTTAGGATTTACAGCCCAGACAAGTACCACACACACATACACACACCATACAGGAGTAACTGCTGAGCTTGTGTCCCAAAAGTAAGTTAGAGGAAGTCATGGAAGAGTTTCACTTGCACTGAACTTGTTAGGGAAGACTTTAAGAGAAGGTGGGACTCCAGCCAAGGCTTTAGGAAGACAAGCTAAACAGTGACAGGGCTGACTAGAAACTGAAGAGCAATCCAGGTAGCAGAATCCAGGTAGAAGGGCATGAACACAGATGTGGGGGTGAGAATAGTGATGGGATATTTAGGGGACAAAGGAGACAGGCCTTGCTGGGGAGATGACAGGACGTATTGGTGACATGTGGGGGTTGCAGATGAGGCGCAATGCCTTTGGCTTATCTGAGAGGCCATGGTGGAGCATAGAAAGAAAAGAGCTGAGGGTGAGGAAACCAGGTTTGGACCACACCCATGATTGGGGTGGCAGAAGGAATGGGGCCAGCACAGGAGCTGGAAAGTGAGTGGCCAGGGAGGCAGAAGGAGCACCAGTAGAGAGAGCACTATGACAGAAGAGTAGCAGGGCAGGAAGGTGAGGAGGGGTTCACTAGTGTCACAGGCCGCTGTGTGGGGCAGTGGACATGGTCTGAAAGGAGACCTTGTAGTTGGACCTGGTGGCACATGCCTGTAATCCCAGCTACTTGAGAGACTGAAGCAGGAGAACTGCAAGTTCAGGGCATGCCTGGGCTACAGACTGAGTTCAAGGCTAGTCTGGGCATATCATTGAGACTCTGTCTCAAAATAAAAGGCAAGAAGAAAGCTAGGATTTTACCTAGTGTGTGTGAGTCTGTAGGTTCAATCTCTAGTATGAAAAGGAAGAGAAAGAAAAGGAAAAGGAGGAGAAGGAAGAGGAAGAGGAAGAGGGGGAGGAAAGAAAGAGGGAGAGAGAAAGAAAAAGAAAAGGCGAGAGGGAGGGGGAGAGAGAGAGGGACCTGGTGGTGGCTTTATTGTAGGTCTGGTAAACACTTGATAGACAGGTCCTAAGTGGAAGGTGAACAGGCCAGGTGCAAGTGAAGCCAGGAGCAAGAGTGGAAAGAACAGAAGGTAACTTGTGGTTATATTAGACAATTCATTAGGGAAGGCCCAGAGCTGGACATATCTGTCAGCTTATTTCATGGAAATGGTAGACTAGTTATGTTCTTAGCTTCCAAAAAGTGGAATAAACCAGCAAACTCCTTTCCCCAACAGTTACTGAGTGCCAACCATGTGTCCAGCAAGCATTGCTAAGAGCTGAGACTGTATTAGCACAGTCCCTACCTCCTCAGTCCTAGGAAAACAATAATATGCATAGGAACGCACAGGAAATGATTATAGATGATGGTTGATAGTCTACAATATTTAACAAGGAGATATAATGGGACTGAGGTGAGATCAAAGAGGGGACATTTCAGCTGAGACTTGGAAAAGGAGATGGAAGCAGCTATGGGAGGGAGTTTGGAGCTGGGCATGGTGGCACAGCCTTTAATCCCAGCACTCAGGAGGTGGAAGCAGGCAGATCTCTGTGAGTTCCGGGCCAACCAGTGCTGCATAATGAGATCTTATCTCAAGAAAACCAAACATCAACAACAACAAAATCCAAACAGAACTAGGGGAAGGGTAGCCCAGGCAAAGGGAATAGCAGGTGCAAAGATTTTTTTGTTTTGTTTTGTTTTTGGTTTTTCGATAGTCTCCTTGTAGCCCCAGCTGTTCTGGAACTCACTTGTAGACAAGGATGGCTTTGATCTCACAGAGATCCACCTGCCTCAGCCTCACAAGTGCTGGGATTAAAGGCATGTGCAGGCTTTTTTTTAAAAAATTATTTTTATTTTTCATGTGTATGAATGTTTTGACCACATATATATAAGTGCAGTGCCTGCAGAGGTCAGAAGAGGGCATCAGATCCTCTGGAACTGAAGTTATAGATGGTTGTTAGCCTCCTGGGAGGCAAACTGAGGAGCAAGAGCAGCTAGTGCTCTTAACTGTTGAACCATCTCTCCAGCTCCAGCTCCAGGTATAAAGATTCTAAAGCAGAAAGGGCTTATATTTAAGAAACAGGGAGGAAGAACCAACTAGCCAGTATCAGAGTACTGCAAGGTCTTATAGTAGTACAATGGGAAGTTCACTAAAGCTTTTTATACTTAAGACATGATTAAAACAAAAAACAAAACAAAACAAAATCTTCAAAAAAACTACACCGGCCAGTAGTGTTGATGCAGGATTGTAAACCCAACCCTTAGGAGCCTGAGGCAGGAGGATCACCACAAGTTTGAGGTCAACCTGTGCTTCCTGACCACACACATACACACACACACACACAGTCACACAGTCACACTTGGCTGTTTTATAAAGTTCAGGTGGGAATCAACTTATCTTGGTCTAGCATGGCAGTATTATTTCTTTGGAGCTCTTTGGAGGATGGAGTTGAGAGTGATTCAGTTTTAGAGCCTAGATGGAATTGACACATGGTGAGGTGGGGACTGGATCCACCAGTCTTATGGCCTAAGCTGGCCTGACACTCTGTTGTGGGGATCACTGGGTCTGAGCTGTTCTTTTTTTTTTTTTTCTATCCAGCTCATCATCCACGGCAGCTTTGCTCTGATCCAGCTGCCTCGATTCCACATCTTCTTTCTGGTCCCAGCAATTATCTATGTGGGGGACAAACTGGTGAGCCTGAGCCGGAAGAAGGTGGAGATCAGTGTGGTAAAGGCTGAGCTGCTGCCTTCAGGTATTGGCCTGGAGGCCGTGAGGGACCAGCTTGGTTACTAAGGAAACTGGCAGGGCAGGGGCAGTGCCTGGACCACTCATCAACTGGCCTAGCCCAGTCGAGGTGGCAGGGACTTGGGGTTGCTGGGAGGAGGAATCTGGGAAAGATTTGTTCTTTGCCAGAGGGCTGGGTCTCTTCCAGCTCAGAGTAGAGGAGCCCAGGCCAGGTTTTTCCTTACCCTACTGACCTTCAGCTCCTCCTCAGGGCAAGAGTGTAGTGGGCAATGTCTACTTGCCATCAGCTCTATCCTGGAGGCAACATTCTTGGCAGGTTCAAGACAACAGCATTATCTCTTCCCAGGAGTGACCCACCTCCGGTTCCAGCGGCCCCAGGGCTTTGAGTATAAATCAGGGCAGTGGGTGCGGATTGCATGCCTGGCTCTGGGGACCACAGAGTACCACCCTTTCACGCTGACTTCTGCACCTCATGAGGACACACTCAGCCTACATATCCGTGCAGCTGGACCCTGGACCACTCGCCTCAGGGAGATCTACTCACCTCCAACGGGTGACACCTGTGCCAGATACCCAAAGGTGCCCGGATTCAGACTAGATAGCTACACACTCCAGGATCTTCTTAGGAGTTCCAGACCCCGCCCCCCACAGTGTGCCTCCCTTTCCCAATCCAGAGACTGGTTGTCCCAGATAATATCACAAACCCAACTCCCACCCCATGTTCTTCCTGACTCTGTGTAACTGTTCCTTTCCCTGCCTATTTCTGGCTTCAGAAACTACAGCCAAACTGAGCTTAAAAACTGTCCCCCTACAGCTGTACCTCGATGGGCCATTTGGAGAAGGCCACCAGGAATGGCATAAATTTGAGGTGTCAGTGCTAGTAGGAGGGGGCATTGGGGTCACCCCCTTTGCCTCCATCCTCAAAGACCTCGTTTTCAAGTCATCAGTCAGCTGCCAAGTGTTCTGTAGGAAGGTGAGTGCCTACTCTTCTGACCAGCCCATAGCTGGTCTCCCCAGCATTGTGCCTTTCTGACTCTCCTGCCTCTGTTCTTGCCCCCACCATCTGGACAAGGACAAGTTGGTCTGAAATCTGCAAGTGGATTGTGGGTTGGGGAAATGCCAGGGTGTGCTGACAGAACTGGTTTATTGATGTCTGAAGGCTCCACCCCACCTCCTGTTACCAAGGGCTCCTTCTTTCAGTGATGGGGTGCTCCACATAGGAGTTGCTTAAGGGAATCCCTCCAGGAAGGGTTGGTGGGAGGTAAAACAAAACAAGCAACAACAAAAAACTGCATTCCCTCATAGAGTAGGCCAGCCTGTGGAACATGGCTGGCTGGGAGAGGGAAGGGCACCTTTGGGGTGGGGCACAAGTGAAACTGACTCAGGGCTCAGGAGCAATGGGAGAGGTAGCAGGGAGGGACCTGTGGGCTGACCCTAGGAGCACAGCCCAAGCCTTCAGCCCCCCACCCCCATGAGGCCCCTTTGCTGTTGCTGGACCCAATGGCAGGTCCCTGCTCGCCTCTCTGGGCCTGGCAGGTGAGTCAGGGGTGCTGGAATGCAGCAGACAGAAGTGCAGCCAACACGTGTCAGCACTCAGAGGGTGACAGCTCCTTTCCTGTCCTTTCTCCAGTGCCAGCCCTCCTCTGCCTCTTACCCTGTACATTCCCCTTTTCTCCTGGAAGCTTGATTGAGTGTGCTACCCCAGGGCAGAGTGCTCCCCCTTTGAGAGCATTTCAGGCAGGTGGGGATCTGGTGGTTGCTGTATGAAATGCCCTTGAGCTCAAAGCTCTGACTTTGGGCAGCTTCTCTCCCAGAGGTGGCCAGCCTGCTGCCCAAGCACAGCCCACTGGAGGGAGTGGGAGAGTGGGCTTGGCCTGAAAAAGTGGCTTCCCACCCAACAGACCTTAGTTCAATTGTAGAGGGCCTGTGACCTGGTCCCAGGCTGCCTCTTATTCAAGAGTAACCTAGCTCTGACCTCAGAACCTGGCACTGTGAACCACACACTCCATCACCCAGGCTGTCTGGGGACAGATTGGCTGAAGTCAGAAGAGTTCTGTGTGGAGACTCCTGCCATGTGGGGAGCCCCAGCTGAGCTGGTCCTGAGCTCCATCATGTGTCCTCAGATCTACTTCATCTGGGTGACGAGGACTCAGCGGCAGTTTGAGTGGCTGGCTGACATCATCCGGGAAGTGGAGGAAAATGACTGCCAGGACCTGGTGTCTGTGCACATTTACATCACCCAGCTGGCTGAGAAGTTTGACCTCCGGACCACCATGCTGGTAGGTCAGGGCCAGCCAGGTGGGGCTAAGAGTTGACTCTGGCAGTGCCTGGCCGTGACCCTTCCCTCTCCCATCCCCTCCACAGTATATCTGTGAGCGGCACTTCCAGAAGGTGCTGAACCGGAGTCTGTTCACGGGCCTGCGCTCTGTCACCCACTTTGGCCGTCCTCCCTTTGAGCCCTTCTTCAACTCTCTGCAGGAAGTTCATCCACAGGTCAGTCCATCCCATATCCAGGCTCTCTTCATCTTTATCATCTGAGGTGGGAGCATAGCTCCCACTGACACTCTGTTGGGGAAGAATTGGCTGCAGCTGAGAATCCATCCCCTGGCAGACTGGAAAAAGATAGGCTCACCCTGAGGTGCTAAGGGAGGAAGGTGTCAGGCCAGAGAGATTTGCCAGCTCTCAAAGGACAAGCTCAATAAATGACATTTCTCACTATAAACTAGGGGGTTTTCCATTAATACTGAGCTAGTGCTCCCCCTGGACATGGAGCTAATTTTTACCATGAACAGAGCTGACCACTAAATTAATAAATACCAAGATATCCCTCAATTTGAAAACTGATGAAGCTGGCTCCTATTAGAAATACTGACCTAGCAGCACTCACAAAACTGAGTTAGACTTACAGTGAGCCAGCCCTCACCATGTATGGCATGAAGTAAACCTTTATTTGGGAACACTGGATAGGCCTTTCTGGTCTTTAAGATGAACAAGGAGTTAGCCTCCACCTTAAACATGAACCTAGTGTTTTCTGAATACTAATGCAGTCCTCCAATGAAAGTTTTAGTGTTTGCCTCTTCCTCCTCCAACAGGTCCGAAAGATCGGGGTGTTTAGCTGTGGTCCCCCTGGCATGACCAAGAACGTGGAGAAGGCCTGTCAGCTCATCAACAGGCAGGACCGGACTTATTTCTCCCACCATTACGAAAACTTCTAGGCCCCCTGCCCAGTGACTCTGCAGAGTCACTACTGACCAGCAGAGCAGATGCTTTTGCTCACACCTTACCTCTGCTTCCTGCTTCTGGCTGGCTCAGCTCTGGCTCCCTTCCCACCTCCCAACTTGGTCCGGGTGGACATGCTCAGTCATCATGGATGGGCTAGGAATCTCCAGAGCTGGAATGTGTCTTGGGGAAGTGCTTATGAACTAGAGGTTCAGAAATAGGGGAGCTACTGGTTTGGGACAAAGTGAAGATCCTTTTAGGCTAAGGAAAAACAAAAATAGTAGACAAGCTGTCAAGTTTCTCTTTGTGACTCGTGTGTGTGTGTGTGTGTGTGTGTGTGTGTGTATGTGTGTGTGTGTATAAGTAACTATGAGCCAAAGGATGAAGTAGGGGTACAGATGCTGGCATCTTTGAACTCTCTTCACTCTGAGACCTTCCTCTATTCTGGGTTCCCCACTTTCAAAGGGGTTGGCAGATGCCTTGGAGTGGATAGGGGCTGGACCCATAGCTCCAGTTTACAGAAATGCTCAGCACCAGCCTAACTGTACAAGTGATCTCTTCCAAGTTTTAAAATGTACTGTTGTAGTCAGACCCTGGCCCAATACCTGTCTAGTGCAATACCCCTCAGCCCTTGTGGCCTTATTTCAGTTATCTTCACAAATAAATCGAGTTTCCACCTTGGGGGTTTCTCTTTTTTTTTTTTTTTTCCTGCTTCATAACAGGAGAGGCAAAGGAAACCATTCACCCAGTTGGCTTGCCAGACTGGTCCAGACACCTGACTTTTAGCCACTCAATAAAACTACTTGAGTGCCCCAACTGGAGGCCCCCTCCCAGGGATACCCTTCCTGGCAAGAGTCTCTCAGGGGGGCTACTGTGAGGTGCTCTGGAGGAAGTGGGCTGTGCAAGGTTGTCTGTAGGGAGCCACGGTTGGCCTGGCTTGCTTTAGGACCTCAGCTATTCCCTGAACCGTGGATGAGTGGGGTCACCCACAAAGTCTGCCAGGCAGTGGGACCAGTGAGGAGACTGATGAGCCTATTTCCCAACCTCTGTAGGCCTGTTTTCTCATCTGCGGAATGGTCGAATGCTCTCCAGTCACTAAAAGATAGGGCAACCTACAAGAGGCAGAGATGAATCTTTAGGAGATGGAGGCCAGCCTGGTCTACAGGGAGACCCTGTTTCAAAAATACCCCCAAAGTCTGGGCAACCTTTGGAGGGTATTTCTGAAAAGGTGCCTGGTTTCAAGTGAGTCATTCTAGTATCCCTCACTTAATTCTTACATTTCTCAAATCATGTATCCTCACTTTTGAGGTATAAGCATTGGATCTGAAACTCATAAGCCTTTGGTTCACACCACGGAACCTTTTCTGGTCTGCTCTAGTAGACCAAGGAGGGGCTGGCCTCACAGGCTTGGGGGGGCGGGGAGAACCCTGTCCAGCAGGGGGCGCTAAGGGAGAGTCGGCTCGGGTCGCGCCCCGCCTGTCCCGGCAGAGGGATGAGAGCAGAGAACTGAGCTCCGCCCTCCCTGGAGCACCGCCCCTTTGTTTCCGCGTGCCAGCCACTGGAGGGGGCGAAGGGGCGTCGTGGACTCGGGTGCCCCCAGCCCCGCGCGGTATGTTTTGACATCTCGTCAAAGGAACTAGATGCTCCCAGAGTGCTTTTCACTGCCGGCTGGTGTCGGCTCCACGGCTGATTTATAAACAATCTGCGCCTGCTTCCCGCTCCCTCCCGTCGCCCGGGGCGGCGCCGCAGGCTCGGACGCCGTCGTGGCTGGCAAGGTCCGCTTTATTTATTGCCTCTGGCCCGGAGCCCGGGCTGCCCAAGCCTGCACAAGTTCCCTGGGGCCCAGGCCCTTCCTGTCTGCTCACCCCAAGGTGGTGGAGGTGCCTCCCCCAAGCCACGCACCAGACCCTGGGCAGGCCCTCTTTTTGGGCCTGGAGAGATGGAGCTGAAGAAAGGGGGCTGCGACCAGCCTCACCCGTAGGGACCCACTATGGAGGGCGGTGGTACAGCTCACCCGCTCCGCCCTAGGGTCCGAAAGGCTGGAGCTGCCCATCTCAAACCAGAGACCAGCAGCTCTGGAACCCACTTCCTCCAGAGGCCATTTTCTCCCCAGGCTTTCCTCTATCTCCATCTCCAGATGGCCCCATTTACTCCAAGGGCCCAGAATCCCCTCCCCTTTATAATAAATTAAGCAATCTCCAGCGTCTACTAGATCCCAGGGCAAGGGGAAGAAAGGTTTGTGACATGACGTCCTTGGTAAGAATCACAGCCCTCAAGCCAGGTGACGGGGCTGGGTCCAGTTCTATCATAGAACCCTGGTCTCACATCTACAGAGTCCGGATGGCCACAGGGTAAAGCAGGGACATGTGTTCTGCCCCCTTAATGGGCAGCTTGCGGCTGGCATAGTGGTGCACGATTTCAGGGACGCTGCTGAAGGGTGGGCTGTTCTGGCCCAACACATACTTGTGTTCCTTGGTCCGGGACAGCTTCATGTGCATGAAGCCCTGACTGCTCCTGGAAAGAGGAAGAGATCCTGATGAGTAGAGCTCTTCCCCAGTGCCCCACTTCCACTGCCCCAGCAATGTGGTTGCAAAGCCAGCTGCTAGCAGGTGGTGAAATAGGGATGGGATGGTGGAGGTCTGAATAGATAGCATGAGACACAGACAAGCTTTGTGGTGAGGACCCTGGGTGTGCCAAAAATGTGCATACAGTGAGTGTATTTGTGAAAAGAATGACCAGCGAGGGTCCAACTCTGGGATCCATGACCTTAAGCCTATGTGACCAAGGTCAGTTGACCCGTGTTTACTCCTTTTGTTTTTAAGATGGGATCTCATGTGGTGTAGGCTGGTCTCAAATTTGCTATATATTCCAAGTAAACTTGAACTTAGGATCCTGCTTCCATCTCCTGAGTGCTGGGATCACAGGTGTGTGTTATCACACCCAGCTTACACAGAGCTAGGGAATGAACCAGGGATTTTCAAACGCTGGCAAGCACTCTTATCAACTGAGCTACAGCCCCAGCTCTGCCCTCACTGAGTTACAGGGCAGCCCCTGGGAGGCAATCCTGGTGAGTCCTAGGAAGCCACAGATGCCCCTGACAGGAGGTAGAGTGGGCAGATATGAAAACCAAGCCAGTCTTTTCAAAAACTGAGGAGGGAGTTCAAGGAGTCTGAAAGTCCTCTCAACCTGGGAATGCTAAGCAGTACCCTGGAGACATCCATTCACTTTTTTCCTATCTGGGTCTTACACCAATCCCTCAGTAGTTCATCCCTCCAGCTGATGGAATGCCATCATCTGAAGGCTCTGCTGCCTACTCAGAGTGAGGCAAGATAGAAAGTTAGGGAAATATTGGGGGTGGGGGGGATTCCTCATTCTTGAGTCTGACAGAAACCTCTTGACAGATGAGAAACGAGAATTCCAGCTCAAACAGCATTTGCTGTGAAGGCTGCTGGCACAGACCTCCTTTCATATACAGATATTTTGTTAAAGTAGCAATTACCCAGGCTTAATGCCTGAATGTTTATGTCCTTGGGGAGGGCCTCATTCCTTACCCCAGGAATTGCTCAAGACAAAACTATCCCATCTTCTTGTATCCTACAGAGTTAAACTTTTACTGTGCTGATTGTAATCCTATCAGGTGCTCCCCCATCCCGATACCAATGATAAGACAGTAACTTCAAACCCCACCAAAATCTTACATTTAACTACTGTAGAAAACGAGGGGTCACACCTCTCTCGAGGAGCCTGTAGCCACACTTGGGTATGTCTTACTTTCTTCTGAATACCTGTTTTCCTAATTCTCATGCTTAATCTTATATTAATAACCCCCCAACTGTTTCATAAACCGGCTAGTCCCAAAATTCTTTTTGCTATCAAAGCCACAAATTGTGGTTTGGCTAGAGTTGAGGTTCCTGACCTTTGGGGAACTCCTCAAGCTGTTGAGGATGACAGTGGGGAGCTGTGCCTCCTTTATCTGTACCTCAAAACGCTACAAGAATACACCCTCCACTGTGTCTCCCATCTCCTCAAATGACCCAGAAAAATCAGCACTAGTGCTAGCCCTGACCTCCAGACCCACCGTGCCAAACTCCAGCCCAAATGCCCCCTACTTTAGAAGGTATGGGGGTGAGACAGCTGGCAAGAACAGCTTTCTAGACTACCACAGGCTTGGTCTGCCAGATCTGAAACTTACCCATAGGCATGGGTAAGGAATGTTTGGTAGAGACCTGAAGCTTAACTTGGTTGCTGCTAGCCTGAGCCCATGAGGTAAAAGGTCTTAGAATAGGAGAGCTGTGTGGAGAGTAGGACCAGTGAGGGGGTTGCCTCCATCCTGAGCCTCCTGCCTCAGAGGTAGGGCTAGCAAACTATCACTTCCCTCATCTATTTGGGTATAAAAATGGCTCTGACTAAATTTATTTTACTAGGAAATGGGTGAGAGATTGGGAATAAGGGAGACTGAGGAAAACTGGTCCCTATAATTCCATCCTTCTCTCATGAAGTCTTAAGTCAGGAACCTGGCAGCCTGCTAGGAGAAGGCTGAGGGCACCAGGGCTGGGTGTGTTGGGGTGTGGGGCCATTTGTAGGTCTTAGATAATGCCTGGGGCAGACAGTGATCACAAAGGCACTAAAGGAAAGGAGCCAAAGGCCTGAGCCCAACATATAGATTTGTGGGCTGTGGGGAAGTAGGCAATGAGCAGCTACCCTCCCCCATGTACCCCATACCAAGGCCCAGGCTGAAGGCTGTGGGAAACAGTATGGGTTCTACCTTCCTTCACCACCTCACAGTTTGGGAGTAACCCCCCTCCCACAGTCAACTTTGGGGGGGGACTCTCCCAAACTACACAGTATCTTCTCCAGGGATAACTCTGGCTAAGAAGGGGTATAAACGGCCTGCATCTGCATTACCAACCTCAGGAGGAAGGGGTGGCTGTGCTTTTCAACCTCCAGGGAGTAGTCCCAAGGGTCCATTAGACATAGTCAAGGTCCTTGCCAGACCCTCAGGGGTCTGGGTGGGACCAGCTGGGCCACAGCGCCAGGGCTGGCAAGGCTTTTTGAGGAAGCTGTTTAATTACCAGTGAAAGCCCTTCCATTAGGGAGAGAAGAGAAACCATAATTGTATTTCAGAGAAGCCATTTATATGCAAACGAGGCCCTGGCAGACAGCCTCTGGTGGGGCCAGATCAGCTACAGCAGTAGCAGACTTCCAGGCCTGCTGACCTTTTCATTCCCTGGACCAGGGCAGTTCCTTTACCCATAGTTGCTCAGTTCCATTCCAGAGAGCCAAACCTTGGGGCATCTTCCTGTGCTAGATTACAGGTATACGGCACCTGGTGAGGGGGTCGGGGAAGCCTTGCCACTGAACAGTGTGGTTCTTGAAGTCAGACCGCACTGGGTCCTGTATTTGTCTATTTTGAAACACTCTCTGGCTGTGTTCTCGTGGCTGGCCTGGAAATCCTGGGCAGAAGGAATCCTGCCTCAGCTTCTTGAATAACTAAGATCATGGGTACTGGGCACCATACCCAGCTTGGGGACTTAATTACTAGCTATCGACTGTGAGCAAGTCCCAAACCTCCTTGAATCTATCTGTATAAAAAAAAGATTTATCAGCAGAGTGGTAGTTGGACATGGTATATATGCTGGTTGGTATGCTCCATGAATTTAAACTATAATTTTAATAGCAATACACCACCTTAAGTTGTATAAATCATATTTTTGACAACTGAATATTTCCTAAACCCTTTTTCTGATTTTAAAATTTGCAGACTCCTAGAAATATGAGAGCCAGAAGCTCACTTTGATGAGAGAAGTTAAATAATTTGCCTAAGGTCACACAGCAAGTTTTTTCAAACCCCAGAAGTTTCCCAACTCTATTTGGTACTCTTTTCTGATACCTTTTAGTGAAGATGAATAATCATCTCCCGTACCTAATGCCCCAGGGAAGGTGGCGGAAGTGGTGAGGATGTTCCAGCAGTGATGGGTGTTGGTAAATGGACACCTCACCCTTGGTGGCCACCTCACAAGGGATGCAGGCTCTACTGAGCAGAGTTCCTACTTGCCAAGAGTGGGGCTGGTCATCCTACTTGGGTGGAGAGTCAGGGAGGCTGAAGAGGCTGAGGCTAGGCTGTGCAAAGCTGCTCCTGAGGAGCAAGGCTGATGGGAAAGACGGACTCTACTTCGTTATCTCATCCAGGACCCTTTAAAACTGAGAAACCCGCTCTCTAGGCTGGACGTAGTGGTGCACACTTTTAATCCCAAAATTCAAAAGGCAGAGGCAGGTGGATCTCTTTGAGTCTGAGGTCAACTTGGTCAACATAATGAGTTCCAGGCCAGCTAGGGCTACACAGTGAGGGACCCTGACACCCCCCCCACACACACACACACAAAAGGGCCCAAACTTCCTCTCTTTACATAAAGTTCCTCAGAGGAGTGGCTTTGCATCACTGCACTGCCCTCTTCCTATGGCCCAGCCCCCCACCTCCTCTGTGCCTCTACAACATCCTGGGTTAACAAAATTTATTTGGCATTTAACATGGTGCTAAGCATTAGCTTAAGCGCTATTGTTTCATTTAATCCTATAAGGTGTATATTATTCTATCTTAGCATAAGAAAATGGGAGGCCTAGACAGGCGGGGGCATAACACCAAGGCATAACACCTAATGATGGAACCTTTCTGACCTGGACACTACCTCAAGTGCTTCCTGCTTGACTGCAGGGGTCGAGGAATCTGACATTTCAGTGCCCTACTGCCTGGGGTGGAGCCAGCATTGTTCATGAGGAATGAGGGACTTTCCAGTTTGACTGACAGGAGTGGAATATTGGAATCCTCTCTTGCCCTGCTGACTGGCTGCCCCTTCTACCTGTACCCAGCCCCACTCACTTGAGGGACAGAGAGAAGTCATTCTTGCTGGTCTCACTGTTCCGCACCAAGTAGCTGGCTTCTTTGCACAGCCGGAGCAGGTTCTCGGCGTCTGTTCGGCTGATGGCCCCATGGTACCAGCTGAGGATGAGAAGAGGGGAAGGGGGGGGCATCTCTGCTGGGTCCCTCGCTGTCCAGGCCCACCCATTCTGGGTGTCCCCTGCAGGGAAGCCAGTGCCAGGAGGGGAGGAAGAGGGAGGGAGACCCCAGCTGGACACAGACACTCACACCTGGTTTTCCAGAGGCAGTGCTGGATCTGTCCACTCCCCCAGGGGGCTGCTGGGCTCCACGCCTAGGGGCTTGGCTGACTTGGGGTTCCCTGCAGAGAGCCGGGGAGGTAGCCGCCCCTTCTCCTCCCGGCCAGGTGACAGGCAGCTCTTCTCGGTTCCTTCAAACTGGGCTGTAGGGAACATACGGGTCATGGACTCTGAGGACCCGAGACAGAGCCCTCCTTAATGGCCAGCACCCTAGTCTATATCCACTCCCCCAAAGAATCAAAGGCATGTTCTGGAAGGGCATGTTCTCAGGCCTGACTGGCTCTAGGGGCGTAATCCAGGCCCACTACAAGGGAGGGGTGCAGCTTTGGTGCCACACAGGACCTCCCAATCCACACTGTAGCAGGCGAAGGAGGACAACATGAGAAACCACTTAAGCTTTCTCCCTCAGCTGACTGCCTTCCCTTTCTCCCATCCCTTAGGGTGGTTTCAGCGCTGATAATATTGTTTCTTTCTCCTCCTCAGAGTTCATTACCGTTCTTCAAATCACCCTGCCAAGCCATTCTGTAGAAATGACTTATCGATCTGAGAACAATTACCTGATTCCCCTTGGTGCCATCCTGACAGGCTAATCCTGCCCAAAGCTGCCAGACTGGCGGCCCTCTCCATTCCAAGGTCACCGCCCATAGATTCCCCTCCTCCCACCCAGAGAAGCCTAGGGAGGCATCTCTGGGCCCCCAGAACAACTGCAGTCTGATAGCTGAGCCTACACAAGGAGAACCCCCAGTGGGTCATGTGGCCACAGGTACACATGCACAGGTGACGCTCTCCTCCATCCTGTATTTACCAAATACCCACAACTCTCTTGCACAAATGTAGCAACTGGTGCTTATGCCTGTGCATACACAACGCTGCCCACACACACCTCTGGGTGCTCACTCTGGGCAAAGCTGGTTGTAGAGGAAGAAGTCAGTGCCACCTTCTTTTTCCCAATTGGGGCTCTTTCTCTTTCCTTCTATCACTTTAAGACCTTATTGTCTTCCAGTTGCCAGATGCAAGGATCAGACTATCTCCTTTGCTAGCACCTCCTCACACCTCAGGAGTACCTGCCTTGTCAGGCAAAGCTCCACCCAAAGAAATTTTTTTTTAAAGTGGATTTTTCATTTTTCTTTCTTTCCTTTTTTTTTCAAAGACATGGCTCCACTCTATAGCCCAAGCTGGTCTTACTATCTCATGCAATCCTCCTGCTTCAGCCTCCCAAATGCTGGGATTATAGTCCTGGCAAAACGGGATTTTTGTGACATGGGGCAGAACATACTAGGAGGGAGCTGCCTTTAGCAGACCTTCCAAACAGCTGTGAGGAGGGAGGAATGTGGATTTTGTCAATGTCCCTCTCCCTCCAGAACCAGAGGGAATCTTCCAACCCAAGCCCATAGAGCTTAAGGAGTAAAGGCCTACTGCCCTGGTCACAAGTCCCCACAGGACCCACCGCTGCTGTCCTCCAGGCTGGGCTCAGGGAGGGGTGAGGCTGGACCGGAGATGTCCCTGTCCCCGTCAGGCAGGGAGGGGCTGCTGTCCAGCTGTCCCACAGGCGGAGGCCAAGGTAGGTCTTTGATGACCTTTATGTCAACTGGAGCCAGTAGCAAAAGGGAGAAGAAAGACAGACAGTGACAGAGAAGAGAGGCAGAGGTTGAGACACCAAAACCCAGAGCTAAGACACAGAACAGCCTAGAAAGGAAAGGGGGCAGAAGCGGAGGCAAGGGCAGCTTCCAGGAAGGGGACAGGACTCTGGGGGCTGAGTGGGGTCAGCACTGGCTGCATCAGACTGGCCTGGTCAAAGATAGGATGGGAGGCTTGGGTAGCAAACAGCAAGGCATAGGGTCTTGCTCTCTCAGACTCATGGGTCCCTCTTTCAGCACTCACTAGCTTCAAGGAACCAAAGGGATGAGGCAAGGTGGCAAAGTGGGATTAAGGGCTACCCACAGCTCCCAGAACCACACCCAAGCTCCCGACACTCCCTTGTCTCCTTTCTCAAGCCCCTAGCCTGAGAACTGATGGACCCCAAGACTGGGGCAGAGCCTCAGAGTATCTGGAATTCTCAGACTAGAGGGCAGACTTTTTTTTCTGAAACAGAATCCTCTTCCCAGTCCTGAGAAGAGTGACACCACCAGCGGCTGCAGGACTACTAACAAGGTTTCCTAATGATGAACACAGATTTTTCCCATTAAGCAATCCAAACAGTATTGATTCTCTAAGGAGACCTCTGGAGATAAACGGCCCATCCTTTATGGTGTGTGCTTTACAGGAAGCAAATCAGAAACCTGTGGTTTCCCAGGCTGGCTCCCAGGGTGAGGAGAGCAGACCTGAGGGTTGGTGAGGTACAGGATGAGCCCGTGTGTGTGTGTGTGTGTGTGTGTGTGTGTGTGTGTGTGTGTGTATGTGTGTGGTAACCACACTACCCATTCAGGAGGGCAGAGCCCTCACTGACCTTAACAGTGCATGGCCACACTAGCAGCTACCTTTCAACAGCATCGCGCGCACGCGTGCAGACATGGGAACAGGAATGAAATCTATTGACATATAAGTCCTCAAGATTCAGGAATGAAGGCCCTCTCCTAACTTGAGGCCCTTGCCCCACCCTCCTCAGACTGCCAAAATGCATTTTCCACCATGGACTTGGGCCTGGGATACAGTGGTGTGGTTAGGACAAGAGAAACCTGATCTTCATTCAACAACCCAGTGATTTCTCAGCCTCCTTCTGCAACTCAGAAATGCCCTTGGGGCCAGACATCCCTGGTCTGTCAGGGTCTACCCACTGGCCGACCCAGCCCCAGAATCCACGTTATACACATAGCTATTTTCATTGTTTGAAGTGTTAAAGACCCTCTTTTGTTAAATATATTTAACACATGCCACAAGTTTCATAATTTTGTATTAGAATTTCTTTATTTTTAAAATAGTCCCAAACCCCCAAAAGTGGATGTTTGCTCAAGCCTCTTGGCCTCGAAGAGGTGAGATACAGGGAAATGCCTTCACCCTTCCCGTGCCCACTCCCTGGCCCTGTACACAGCGCTGCGTCCATACTGCCCAAGTCTCCACTTCATTGTATAGAACTATCTTGCCACTCCTAGACCTTGCTTGGTTCCTGGGGTCCACTCCTTCCTTCCATTCTCTTGAGCCTAGGAAGGCCCCAGCAGACCTGCCCTCTCCACCAAGACTCACCTGCAAAGGCTTTGGAAATCCGTTCCTTCTTCCACTCCCAAGGCTGATCATACTCCTCTGGAGGCCTTTCATCATCCTCAGGCAGGCGGGACTCCCTTGGCCAGGGGGTTCCCTCACCCTCCGGGCTGGCCCCTTCATCCTCTGGTTCATAGGGTGTATCATAGAGAGGTAGGGGCTGAACTGCCGTCTCCTTAGAACCCCGGATCTCTGCCAGGGCAAGGAGAGAGGTGTAAGCTCAACTCTGACAACCTGACCTGCACCTCTGGCTTATTTCTATGCTATGCCTCCCCTTCAGAGGAGATGCAGCAACCTGACCCTCAAAACATTTCCAAAGCTCTAAAAGCATGGGGTGGAAGGGAAGAAGCAGCAAGTAAGAGCCAAAGAGAAAGACAGGGAAGTGATTTCAGGTTGGCAAGAGCTGGGACGATGGGATGGCATATTAAGAAAATGGAGGCAGTCTTCCTCTAGCCCATCTCTTCCTTATGCCCAATTCCATTTATTTTCTCCATTTATTTATTGTTCCACTTATGTTCTAGCTGTTATCATTTCGTAATCAGGAAATCCTCTGTGGCTGACACTGCTGACCTCCCCCGTCTTCCCTGTGACAAGTCAATTTCATTAACTGCCTTTTCTTTGTCCACTGGTCTATTTTCCTGGGTCCTCTCTTGGCCTGTTCCCCAGTCTTACTTATTTCCTACCGTAACTCTTGAACTATCTGCTCAGGCTTAAGGCACCCACTGTATCTCTATATCTAGTCACGTTCCCACAGCTATAACGATGCTTCATTTTGACATCACCTTGTTTCAGGCTCACTACCTTCTAGAACTAGTAAATCTCCTTTTCAGATCACTGACCCAAATCTGATAAAAAGCCTTGGAGTTACTCTCCATAAAAACGTGCACTTCATGGGTCTGAATAGATGGATGAGGAGTAAAGAGCACTAGCTGCTCCTGCAGAGGACCCAGGTTTGGTTCCCAGCACCCACATGGTGGCTAAAAACTCCTCCATAATTCCAGTTCCAGGGGATTCAACATATTCTGGATTCTAAGAGTGAGCACTGTATGCATGTGGTATACTTACATAGAGGCAAAACACTTATATACATAAAATTAAAAAAAAAAGAGAATGGACACAGATTTTTTTAGATGTGCACTTCAGGGCTGGCTCTTTCTCTCAGTGGTAGAGCAGTTGTCTAGCATGTGTGAGGCCCCAGGTTCAGTCTTCACCCCCCGCAATAAGAAAAATGTGTGCTATGGGTTGGAGAAATGGCTCAGCAGTTAAGACCCGGGTTTGAATCCCAGCACCCACATGGCAGCTAACAACTGTCTGTAACTCCAGTCCCAAGGGATCTGACAGCCTCTTCTGTCCTCTGTAGGCGTTGTACAACACGGGTGCACTTACTTACATGCAGGCATAACACTCATACACATAAAATAAAAGTAGTAAAATATTTTTAAAAAAAAGAAAAGAAAAATGTGTGCTTCAACTTTCACATATAACTCTAAGGCACTCATGGTCCACATCCCTCAGACATGAACAGGATAGCCTCTTTCTCACTTTCCCTACTTCCTTGGACCTGACCCTACTTCATTTTCTAAATCCCATCTGTTCACTGCCAACACCTCATGACTTGCAGCCTTATCTCTCCATATCTAGATTACTGCCAGGACCAACCTCCACCTCACAGGTTCAGAGCTCCATGGAATAACCCTCCTAGGACAATACTTCTGATGGCTCTCTGTCCCCTCGCCCACCTTTCTCCCAAGGAGGAAGAACAGCTTATCTGATTGGCCAGCCCTGCCTTCTTGCAGAGACACAATTCCAGTTCTTTCTCTTCCACGCAGTGAGTAGCTTATTCCAGTACAGACACCCAAAGCTACCTGTGTTGCCGAGACTGAGAAGACAAGTTTAATTCTGTGGCTAAGTATTGAGAAGCCCACTGTGGTGACATAGATAAGTAATGTTCTCTGATCAACATTATCAGTAAAAAGTTGGCATTTTAATCTCTATCTGTCCTTTTCTTCAATCTTATTTCTTAATTATTTCTAAGCTGAGGAAAAGAAGAAAGAATTCTTAATTATTGGCTCCCTTAAAACCCCAACAATTGGGCTGGGCATGGTGATGGCACGCCTGTAGTCCCTGCACTTTGAAAGTGAAGACAGGAAGATTGCTTCAAGTCTGAGGCCAGCCTGAGTAACTATTAGACAGAAAGTTCCAGGCCAGCCTGGGCTACATATTAAAACTTTGCCTCATTAAAAAAAAAAAAAAAAAAAAAAAAAAAGACCAAACAACATCAAAAAGCAGTAATTCCAACAATTTCTTCTGGTAGCTCAACTTTCTGATGAGCAATTCTAACATCCATTCTGTACACCAAGTCCTCAGAAATCCTCTTTTAAAATGCCACATTCACCGTGTTTCTTTCTTGCTCAAGAATTCGTGATTCTACTCCCCGTTTGGCACAAGTCTAATTCCTTTTTTCCAACCTCTATGTGCTTCTCTGTCCTTTCAGTCTGTTCTCTCAGCTCCCAAGTACGTCAGCATTACTGACCCTGGACCAATACTTCTCTGGGCCTGCCTTTGTCCTTCTCTCTGTCCACCCCCATTCAGACTCGTTCTCTGGGACCTCTCTTGGCCTCTGTTCCCCAAGGACAGGTCTTAACTCATTTCTTCCTACTGGAACTCTGAACTATTTACTTGCCCCACCCTGCGTCACCTAATGTATCTATATTTCCAATTGCCATTAGTGTTTCCTTTTGATATAGTCATTTCAAACTCATCACACTCCCAAAAGCTAGTGACTCTTTTGGGGATGTTTGGCTGTCAACCCATACTAGTACCCTCCTGACTATCTCTAGTGCTTTTATCTGACCTCTGGTTGGATGGCTTCCTCTATGGCTTCAGGTCTCAGAGGCTACACCTTCTTCAAAATGATTCTCTTGAAGGCACTGGCCATACTCCAGAGGTTGTAGCAAAGGCTTTCTTCATATTTTCCAGGGACCATGGAAGCAGTCCTTATACATGTGGTTCCCAGAGCTTGTTGGGCAGATCCCAGGCCTCAGGGAGCATCTCCCTTTCCTTCATCACTTACCAGCCATCATCTTTTGGGCCTCATAGGGTTCCATGTAGCCATCATTTTCAGGGACCTTCTCTGGAGCTCCTGAAGTTCCTACTGAACCTTCACCATTCTCCTGAACATCAAATGGGTCTGCATAATCTTCTAGGATTGCCAACTGTGGGAGCAGAGCAAAGAGAATGAGGATCAGACAGGGAGAGGCAGCTCTGCTTCTCTCTCCAGGCTACAGAAGCACCAGTTCCAGGCTGCCTTAGTACCAAAGCCCCAGCTACCTAGGCAGGCTTTTTTTTTTTGGCAGGGTTCCCTACTAAGCTGCCAAGATGGAACATCTTTCTTTTCTGCTAGTATTATGTCTCATGGTCATGCCCTATACTACACAGCCAGGATGAGGCTAGTGGGTCTTAGGACATGCCTCAAGGTCCAAGCAGGGTAACACCCTATACACAGTGGTTCAACAGAGAGAATTCAGAAAACTAGTTACAAATGTATTGGAAGAGCTTAAAGAGCAAGCAGTACAGTAGGGCAACTCAGAGACTAGTCTAGTCCATGCCCACCACTACACTTCAGATGCTCAATAAATCAGCAGTCTGTGACTCTTAAGAAAAGAAAGTAGAGCTATCACTTTGTCACCATCCTGTTGTCTGATTCTAATAAGGGCCTTGTTGTTCAGGTATTATTAAGTCTCTTTATAGAAAATGGAGGCCAGGGCAGTTAGGGAACAACACAACTAAGACCATTCTGCTTCAACGGGAAAATCAAATTTGGAATGCATGTTCTTTGTGCACAGGGCTATCAACCAGTATCAGTGGGCATCTCAGCTGTCCTGGGCGAAGAATGCCTTGGTGCAGCACTAAGGCACTGTGAAACCCCCTTGGCTCCCAGAGCACAGGGTCAGGAAAGGCTATATGGCCCCCCACTTCCCCTGCTACTCCTCTCTCTCACACTAGTGGCTCCTGACCAACCTCTGTTCCCTCTCCTAGGGAGGGCAGAGGCACCTGAAGTGCCCAGGGCAGGGTGGAGCTGAGGACAATAGAGTCTTTCTCCAAGCTGGGCAGGGGCTTTTCCTACAGGCTGAGGCTGGGAAGGTGGGGCTGAAGAAGGATGTCAGCACCCTGGAGCACTGTTATCACACAGGTGGCTCTGAGGTCTGTGGTACAGGGAGAGGCCACTCCTGCCTTTCACCAAACTCAATCCCAGGCTTTAGTTCTGAACTGGATCACAACTTTGAGAGCCAATGAACCACCCATGAAGGTGTGATCACCCTTCCCTGGGTGAAAGGATCTGGGAATGGGGAGCCCTGGGAAGGGTGAGACGTCCCAATGGCTCCTTCCATCTCATTCTGAGGTCTTCAGCTCCTACCTTGTTCTAGTACTTTCATATCTGCCTGCTTGGGGAATCTCCCAATGGCCACCATCCCACATGGCCCCATCAGCACCACAGATAACCATCTGCCAGCCCGAGCTCTCATTTTTTGTCTCCCCAGCTTCAATAAAGCAACTGATAGAGATACTTAAAGAAAAACTTTCTATTCTATCACTACCTCTCTTCCCTCTAACTCTTCACCCCTACCTCTCCCCAGGAGGTAAATAGAAGAAATCCACTCAGATCCACCCCTCACACTGTAACACTATTTCCAGATGCTTCCTCCTAGGCTGGTGGCATCTATAGCCTCACCCATTGCCCACTGTTGGTGATTCTGCCAGTCTCAATTCATGTGTGGCAGTCACTCAGCAGTGTCTGAATCACCTGATATGTTATCCTTAAACCTTACAATAAATAGGGGCTGGAGAGATGGCCCAGTGGTTAAGAACACTGGCTGTTCTTGCAGAGAACCCAGGTTCAGTTCCCAGCACCCACATGGTAGCATTGCACGCATGTGGTACACTTGTATACAGGCAAAACACTCAATACACATGAAATAAAAATAAGTAAAACTTTAAAATCTTACAATAAAAAAGCTCTCTAGTATTTTGAGGAAAAGCTCAAAGTCAAAGATAAGATTCTGCTTTCCTCTTTGGAGCACAACTCTGAAAGCTCTATGGTCTTCTTATTCAACAATTATCCCTTTCCTCTTCTTCCTGATCTGACTAATCCTTAATCATTCTTTTCCTTCCTCAGAAAGTCCTTCCATAGTTCCCCAGGCCAGTGAGATGGCTCTGTGCTGGGCTTTGATCACCTGGTGTGGCAAATGCTTGTTTTGCTGGAGGTCTTCCTACAAAGTGGGCAGGATTCACTTTTACTGCTAAATACCCAAGGCCTGAATACTCTCAGTAACTAGAATCCTCTCACAAGGAGTAAGAGGATTGGACATGAGGGACAAAAGAAGCATACTCTCCATTTTCTTCAGAAGACATCAATCTGGGAAGGGCTGGGGTCACAAGAGAGGACTGCCTTTTTCCAGAGGAGGCTGTGTTCCTAGAAGTTGCTCAGTGAATTCAAACCATCAACACCCCTCCAGCCCTCCTTTCAGCAATCCCAAACTACATACAGCAGGTTCTCCCTAGTGTCCTGAGCCTGTGCCTAGAGCAGCGACCTCTCCCAGGCTGGCGTGGGCCTCTCCAGTGCCAGCTGACAGTGCCCATGGGCAACCAGGTGGTGGCTCTGTGGGCAGCTCAACAGCTCCTCTGTTCCACTCCTGGCTCCACACCCTACTCCAGGAAGCCCTGCCCCCCCCCCTGGACTGGGGCACCCAGAGAGCTACCCACAAAGCCCAGAATAGGAGTAGCAGCAGTCATGAGCTGGGAAGGCTGGTAGGACTGGTACCTACTCTGGGGCCAGTCAGAGCCCAGGCCTGCCTGCCCAGTGTTTCTCTGTCTTTGGGGGGATAAAATGCTTACAGGGAAATTGTCCTACAGACTTCTAATACCTTTGGCCTACTAAAATTTGTTGTTTTGTTTGTGGCCCCTTGGCTCCTTCAGATGTGCCCAACACTCTATCCTGTATCCATCACAAGGCCCTGGCACGCTGGAGACATTCAATGTAAATTTACTGGATGCCTAAAAGGCCTCGGATGCAGGCTCTATCCTTGGGAGTGACACCAATTTCCCAACCCCTGGTCATGCTTACCTCTGACTGACCACAGTGGTGGGAGATCAGGCTCACAGGAGAATCTATGTTAGAATGGGGATCAAAGCCTCTGGCTCAAGGGCAGAAGGGACAACCTGCCAGGCAGGTATTGGAAAGGCTCTTAACACAGGGGAGGTGTTTAGGCATATCCACTGTTATAGCCAGAATGCTCCTAAAATGTGGAAATATTTCCAAAAAGGAGGTGAAGTAGCTGCCTCCCAGAGGTCCCTGTGTCACCCCTCTCCTGCCATCTGTAGACTGTTTCTAGGACCCTGCTACTCATCTGTTCAATTGGGCAGTGGCCCTCCCAGTGCAGCTGTCAGACTTTGAATCTCCTTCCTGCTCACGCCTCCCCTGAGGTAGCTAACAGGCCCACCATCTGGTTCCATCTTCTACTCTGCTGCTGGGCCAGGCAACATGTTCCTGACCCTATTCATGGGCTCCAGGGGGTGCAGAACTGAGGGGGAGGTGTTTTAGGATATTGGCACTACAAGGTCCCCCAACTCTCTCACTGCACATTTCCTCCAGTTTTTCAGGTATATTTAGTATCTGAAAACCTGAGACTGAGCTGTAGCATGAGTCTGGTACTCATAGGGAAGGATGGGGAAGAGCAAAAAGAAGCTGGAACAGCTTTCACCCAGAGGCTGACGGGTCGAATGCTCAATAAACGTCAGTTCTGATAATACTTGTTTTTATTTGGGTGCTGAGGCATCAGAGCATTTGGGTGCTTGTCTAGGACACACAGCTTGTGAACAAGAAAGGCAAGGTTGAGACTCGGGTCTCTTAACTCTTAGGACCTTTTTGTAAAAGTTCCCAAATATCTCTCCTCTAGGGCTGGAGAGATGGCTCAGTACTTAAGAGCACTGGCTGCTCTTGCAGAGGACGTGGGTTCAAGTCCCAGCACCCACATGGCGGCTAACAACTATCTGTAACTCCAGTTCCAGGGGATCCAATGCCCTCTTATGGCCTCTGCAGACATTGCAAGCATGAAGGTAAAACACTCATATACACAAAATTAAAATGAAAAAAAAAATTCTCTTCTCTATGTTTAGGTTATATTTTACTTCAGGGGCTGAGGATACAGTTCAATGACAGAGCATTTGCTTAGCATCTCAAGACCCCAGATTCAGTCTTTAGCACTGGAGAAAAAAACCTACTTGACCTTAAACAGTTTGATTTTAATTCAGTATTTTCCAAAAGTACTGAAAACCTATTAATTAACCAGTGTGGGTAAGAGTACAAAATTCGGTGCCTACTTACTGGAACGCCTTCTATTGCGTATGTCTGAGAAACTACAACATAAAACACACTGGATGTTTTTCCTTTTCTAATTATAAGTGCAATGCCATGCTTACAAAACATTCAGACATCACACACGACTGACACCACCAACCCTTGTAAAATCCCTGGGTGTGTCTGTGGCCACTTCAAGACTCTGTGGCCAGTGGCAGGCTCCAGCACTCAAGAAAATGGTGAATTCTGCACAGACCACACCCTTCATTCCTTCTCTGAGTCTCTCATTGCTCATGACCCAACGCTGCATGAACACCACCTCTCTCCCACGCACTCTCTACTGGTGGTAGGTGCTGATGGCCCAGGCATAGTACTCAATCCAGTCAGGCTGGTGGGCTATAAACTTCAGGTATACTTCAGGCTGAGAAACCATGCAAGTGTGACTCAACATTCCTGTGCTTTGTTTCCTCCACATACAACATAAGGATAGAATCTTCTTTAAGGTGGTTGTATCTTCCAGGCACAAGCAGGTGCTTGGTAAACACCAGTCACTAAATTACTAAGGACAATAGAAATCAAATTTTGGGGTCCCCCAGGAACTCATACTGTGAGACACAAAACAAGCTTCAGGAAGAGTGAAGAACCTCAAGGTGTTCTTGGGGTACCTACCTATGGCATACAAAGGTTGGGCCCCACTTTTGCTTTAACATAATATGCAGATTCTAGGATGAGGACAGAGTATGTGGGGGTACCCCCTCTAAGCACTGGGCCCCAGCCACAGCTTGCCCACCCCAGTCAGCTTTTTTCTCTCATTAACAATCACCATGGTCCCAGCTCTCAAAAGGCAGACTACAAGGATTAAGGTGTAGACCGAGTCACTCAAATGTCTTCTAGACAGCTGAGTACTGCAATCTGAGAGGGCAGTACTGGGTAGACAGACCAGCTCTACAGTCCCTCAGCAGTCATAGACTCTAGCCATCTCTGAAGCACCAATGATAGCACAGAAGGCCAGCCCAGGGCCACTAAGGTCTAATCAGGCCACAAAACTCCCTCCCCTGGAGCTCTCCCTTTTTCTCCTTCCCAATACAACTTTCTTCCATCTTCAACACAGAGTAAGTGCAAGATGGCCTGATCAGACCATCAGACTCTGTGGAAGCATAAGAAGAGAAATTTAAGCAACACAGTTTTTAAAAAAAAAAAGACAAAGAACAGGTCTTGTAGGTGCTGTGTCCCTCTTAGTACTTCAGCTGGTGTCCACAGTGACACAGTACACTCAACGAACACTGGGTAAGAGTGGCCCTAATGTTGATAGCCTAACATCAGGACAGGAATATCCTTGACTGACTTCTTGCCCCACTTTACTCTTCCTGTTTGCTTACTCCCTTCCAAACTGGGCCTGGATGAGCTAAGCCTATGTGGGTATCATCTATAAAGTACTGTTAGACCCAGCTGGCCTGGAACTCACTATGTAGACCAGGCTGGCCTCAATCTCAGAGAGATCTGCCGGCCTCTGCCTTGGCCTCCTAGAGTGCTGGGAGGCACAACACCTGGCTACATTTGTTTTTAAAAGTTCTCAATACTGAGGCCAGCAAGATGGCTCAGCGGGTAAAGGTGCTTGCCACCAAGCCACGCTGAGTTTGATCCCTGTGACCCACACAGTGGAAGAAGAGAACTGACTCCTGCAAGTTCCTCTGACCTCCTGTGCATGTGTGCACACAGTCACACTAAATACACAAATGTAATTTGAATTTTTTAAAAAAGTTCTCAGTGTGGGGCTGGAGAGATGGCTCAGCAGCTAAGAGCACGTATTGTTCTTGCAGAGGACCTGAGTTTGGTTCCCAGCACACACCTAGGGTGGCTCACCATCAGCTGTAGCTCCAGCTCCAGGGGATCTGATGCCCTCTTCTGGTCTCCAAGGACACAGCACTCACATATAAAGCCACACTGATACACAGTATTTAAAATAAATCTTTAAAAAGATCTCAATACTGTATTTTGGAAGGTATAAAGTCCTGTAAGAATCTAAGAGCTGTAATCTTTCCCTATAAAGATGGTCACACAATTTCTGAAGGCTCAAAAACCCTAGGGCCTTCCCCATGAGCTAAGAATAAAAGCTATGGTTTCAATACAGGGTGTCTGTTTTACTGTCCATGCCAGGTCTCCCCTCCTCCATCATGGCGCCGATGTGATAGGCAACTCAGCCTTCATTCAGTCAGAATCCCATTCCTCTACCTATCCTCTTTCCTAGTTAAGAGCAGGTGTTTCTTGAAGCCTGGAGAACAGTGAGCAGAGAAGGCCCAACTCTCTGGACCCTCTGCCAACGCAAAGCCTGGAGATGGGACAAAGGCCCAGCATGAGAGGGAGTTCTTTGGGGGGCCATCTGGTGGGGCCTTGGCTGCCGGTTGCATTGCTCTTGCTGTTCCCACACCTGCCCTGCCAGGCCTGGCCAGATGGTCAGCTTTGTGTCTCTGCTAATTATACCACTAGGTTTTAGGGTGGGCTGGCAGCCAGAGTCCTGCACAGGAAGAAGGCTAATGGTCCTGAGCCTCCTGGATCTCAGGGCCTTGTCCTGTTCCCCATTCTTCCCCCAATCATGGACTCCTCAGTTACTCAGCTTAACACAGAAGCACCTCTCCTCATTTCATCAAACCTCAGGATACTCTCAAGAGGGTTCTGACACCTTTTTCTGCCCCCAGCACTAGTCATGAACTCTAGAAGCAAGCTAGCCCAAAGCAATCCTGCTCCCTGGTCCCCAAATCACCTCAGGAGACTCCCCCCAAAGCAGCCAGCCAATGGGCTCTGCTGAGCTAAGAGGGAGAAAGCAACCACAGGATATGGAAACAGTGCTGCCGGTGTGGTTCATGGCTTTCTGCATGAACTCTACACACATGTATCACTCAGTAGGCCAGGGGGTGCCTGATCACTTGGGTGCAGAGCGATAGCTGGCTTTCCCCAGAGCAAGACTCTGGGATCTCCTAAATTCTGTTCCTAAATGGGTGGAAGTTGCTTGCTCTTTGAATAGTGAGAAGCTGTAGGTCAGCCCTAGGGACCACTCAGATAACACCAAGGATCCTTTTTATCACACTCACTAAAGAAAGGACAGATTGTACAACCCCTGGAAGAGCCTGTTGGATTTCATTCCTGTCTCTATGTGGATGACAAGAGTCAGACATCTCTTGTGCCCTCCTCCCCCCAGGTCTGAATAACCCACAGATCAGAGCTGACCCAACTGAAGCATGGATGCCCTTGGCAAGAAGAGGCTAAGGGTTTGAATAGTATATATGGCTGCAGCTCCTTCCTTGGGGTCTCTGGGAAAATGTGGAAGGGGAGCTAGGTCTTGGAGGTCCCTGACACTTAGGCCACCCTGATAACAGCCAGTCACTATTCAGGACCTATTTATGTCACTCTGCCAAACATTGTGTCAGACACTTGGGAGACACAGACATAACGAGAAAACGGACCTTGTGCTGGGAGAACCCACAGCCTGGTGGGCAGCTTGTTAGGTCATTCTTAGCCATTACAGAAAGAAAAGCCAAGGATAGCTTAGGCCATGTGCCAAGAGCCAGTGGTCTGAGAGGAGGAGACTAGTGAGTGAGGAGTGCAAGGCCTACATACTCCCCTGTGCCTCATAGCCACACCACCATCCCATCACACAAGGAACAGTAGGGAACAATTAAGAAGGGGCACTTCCAGAAGCACTCTTGAATCTTCCTTTGCAGCCTAAGGATGCCAGGCTAGGATGGGCAGCCATGCTCTGTGGCAGGAACGATGGGACAAATGATTCACATATCTGGGGCTTCTCTTCTGACCCTGCCACATCTCTCTCATTCTGGCAGAAAAGCACTCTCTTGGCTAAAAACCTCAGTTCTGAAACCTGAGGATTCGGTCAGCAACTCCTCTCTCTAATCAAAAGTGTTCTCTCCGGAGGAGAGGAGAGGTGAATAAGGCCAGAGCTGAGCTCTCAGAGACTTGTGAAAAAGGACGACAGAGGCAAAGTGGCTCAGAGTCATAACCCTAGGATTTAGGGCTAGGGGAACCTCGCAATGGCTTCCAGCTGTCACTCTTCCAGGGGCAGGATAAAACTGCAGTTAGGAAAACAGGTGGCCCGGGGAACAAAACTGTTGGTGGTCTTTTACCCCAGGGTCTCTAGGCTCTCCCAGAATGGACCTAGGCAGAAAGAGGCAAAAAAGACAAGAAGCAGCTCAGCTGCTCAGCCCCGGCAGGGCAACAGGTCCTGAACAACAAATGTCCTCAAGGGGGAAGAGGGGGTGGGTCTGTACCCCAGTGGTCAGCTTCCTTGGCAACAACAGCACAATGCCCATCTTGGGCTCCTGAAAACAACAGTCCACCCACTCCAAATTCCACTGGGTAAGGCAAAGGCCCTTTCCGGGGCTTCAGACCAGCAAGGATGCTAGCTTTAGACCAGGGAGTGGGAGCAAGGGGAGGGGGAAGAGGAGGACGAAGAGGAAAGCTTTGTGCCGGTTCTGCCCGGAGGGAAGAGTCGGAGATCAAAGGGCAGAGAAGCCGCAGCTCCCAGAAGGGCACAAAGGCCAGAAGCCAGCAGGGGGGGGAAGAGGGGTGGCTTCACGATTCCCGTTAGAAAAAAGGCTCCAGGATGGGGGGGGGGGGGGGGGTTGCAAGGAGGAGAGCAGAACCCCTGGGAGGTCACCAGTTCCAGGGCCGTAAGAGGAGACAGAGGCAGAGTTTGGGGCTCAGCTTAGTCAGTGGAGAAACTGAACAAAGGTGGGTTAAGACTCTTGAGCCCCAGGGTCAGGGACTAGGCTTTTGGTCAACCAGGAACCAAGACAACTAAAGGCCGAGCCCCTGCCGGGCCACCTTTGTCCCTCTCCAAATCTCCAGACCCTGGCCCACCACCCCACCTGGCCTGGCGCAGCACTCACCCTGTCGCTGCTGGCTGGGGGTCCGGAGATGCGCTCATCAGGAGGGGGCGCTGGGGGCCCTGGGGTCTCCACCCGAATCAGGCGGTGTGGGGGCGAGCCGTGGCGCGGGGGCGGAGTGGGGCCGGGGGTTGTGGGGGTGGCCAGGGCTGCTGAGCCCGACGGGCCCCCAGAGTAGGGATCTTCGAAGTCGCGATCGCGCTGCAGCCGGTAGGCGGCCAGGATGTCCGGGGGCGGCGCCGGGGGCACGGCAGGGCAGGGAGCTGGAGGCCGGTAGTCCGGCTCTGGGGGTGCAGGCTTGGCGCCCCCTCCGCCGCCGCCCCCGCGGAATCCCAGATGCTCCCGCAGCCACTTCGCTACTCCGCCGCTGCCGCCCCCTCCCGGGCCGGCCGCCGCACCTCCAGGCCCTCGGCGGGACCCCCCGGGGCCGCCCCCCGCGCTACCCTGCGCCCGCGGCCCGGGGCCGGAGCCCGCGGGAGGAGCTCCGCTCAGAAGCATGGGGCCCTCCGGTCTGCGCGAGGGGAGCGCGGGCGCCGGCGGGGGCGCAGGGGGCGGAGCCTTGCCTCGCGAGGGGGCGGGGCTCCTCAGCAACAAGGGAGGGGCGGGGCCGGCTAACGGGGTCGACCTCCCTGCCTCCGCCAGGTCCCGGAGCGGACGCTGGGAAGTGAAGTGGAAGACCGGGGGCCAGGATGCACCCTTCACGTGTCCCTGGGCGTGCTCCAGTGGGACGCACAGTGGTCCCCATCTGCTCTCCTTCCCCAGCTCCCAGTTTGTGCCAGACGTGGAAAGGCGATCCCCAGGCGCATTCCGCCCATCTTCTTCCTTCCCTCGAATCCTGGAGACCCGGAAACAGCATTCTAGAAGAGTCTAGGGAGGGAGAGCGAAGAGGCTGTTCCTGTGTATCATTGCCCTCCACCTTGGGAGCCCCACCTTCCTTCACACTGCTCATACCCAAACCTAGGTTGCTTCAACCCAGGCAAACACTTCTCACGTCACATATAATCAACTCTCTAGAGACACCCACGGCCGTACTGTCGTTTCCAAAACATCCTCTTCAAGGGCTACCAGCTCTCCCACAAACATTCCCCACCCACCGTCGCACCTGCTTCTAGCCCTCCCACCCCTCCCTGACCTCTGAAGGTGGCACCGGGCACTGTTGCAGAAATCCCTCAAGCTACACCTTGGGCTTGTCAATCAGGTTATTGACAGAATGGAAACAGACAAGTCAATAAATCAAGTCTAGAAACAGTTCCCATGATGTCTGTCACTGCTGCTTAAGTGCTAGGCACTTTTGTCCTTGAAAGGAAGCCAATTGTCCACCAGAAGTATTGTTGCCCTGAAGCTAATGCCAACGTTTGCTTAAACTCTGCTGGGAAACTATCTGCTTTCACCTCACCGTGGTACTGTGGTACTCGCCTTGCTCACTGCCTCAGTGCCTCACTCCAGCTCATACCTGCTTTTTGTTTTTTGAGACAGGGACTCACCTTGTAGCACTGGCTGACCAGGAACTCCCTACCAAACTCAGAATGACCTAAGTTAGTGATCCTCTGCCCCAGTCTCCATAGAGTGCATGCATACATGCATGACATGCATACACCATCTCCCCTGGCTTGTCACAGAAGCGGAGAGTCAGGTTAGGCCCCAAAGAGGAGTGAGTTCAAAGCTGAGGAAGAATGAGTCAATTCCCAGGACTCCAGGTTTCAAAATATGTTTTTTCCTAGGCATACAAATTCCAATGTATATGTAGTCTTAAACTGTAATGTGACACCCCCCCCCAAGTCCCCTGGGGATCTTGTTAAATTGCAGGTTATAATTTGTGCAGGTCCAGCTGGGGTGCAATTCCAGAAAGCATAGTTCTGACAGGCTCCCGGGTGATATAAGTGCTGCTGGCCCCAAACTACACATTGAATAGCAGGACCATAGAAGTCTCTGAAAACTCTGAGTTTGTGAGGTATAATACAGAAAAAAACAGGTGTACACTCAAGAATGTACACTTTAAAACTAATGATGCAAAGGGGGACAAAAAAGAGGGTACAAGCCAGGTGTGGTGGCACATGCCTTTAATCCCAGCACTCTGGAGGCAGAGGCAGGCACATCTCTGTGAGTTCAAGGCCAGCCTGGTCTACATAGTGAGTTCCAGGACAGCTCGGGCTACAGGGAGACCCTGTCTCAAAAAAACAAAAGAAAAGATAGCTGGTTGTGACAAGGTTTTACTTGGTACTCACTTTGTAGCCCAGGCTGGCCTCAAACTCATGGTAGTCCTGCTATCCCAGCTTCCCAAGTGCTGGAATTACAGGTGCAAGCCACCACACCAGGCTGCACTAGCTTTTTTGTTTGTTTTCTCAGTTTTTGTTTGAGACAGGGTCTCCTTGTAGCCCTAGCTGGCCTGTAGATCAGGCTATCCTGAATGGCCTGCCTCTACTTCGAAAGTACTGAGATTAAAGATATGTGCCACCATACTTGGCCCTGTATTAGCTTTTTAAAATGTAAAATGAACTGGGCATGTGATGTGGACCTGTAATCCCATCCTTGAGAGATTGAGGCAGCAGGATCAGGAGTTCAAGGACATCTGTCACATACAGAGTTTGAGGACAGCCTGAGCTACCAAAAACCCAGTCAAATAAACAAACCGGTAAAATGAGATGAGTATGCCTTAATTCTATGCTCAGGTTGTAGCAGAAGGATTCCCAGGAATTCAAATCCAGTCTGGGATACATAAGGAGACTGTCTCAAAAACCAGAAAGTAAGGACTGCAGAGAGATGGCTCACTGGTTAAGACCTTTTGCTGCTCCTCCAGAGAACGTGAGTTCATTTCCCAGCACCCAGGTTGAGCAGCTCACAACCACCTGTAGCTCCAGCTACAGTAGGGGGATTGGACACCCTCTTCTGGCCTCTGTTAACAACTGTGTGTGCACACATATACATAAATGATGAAAATAAGCCTAAGAAAAAAAACCCAAAAGCAAAGCAAAAAGCATATTTACAATGGACAGTGTCACGCATTTAATTAAGAAGTATGGAAACCAGATGGGGTGTGGTGATGTGCACTTGTAATTCCAGCAGGTAGGGGAGGTAGAGAAAAAATAATGCCCAGAAAGTTCAAACCAGGCTGATACACATAGCAAGTTTCAAAGGAGCCAGGGCCAAATAGAGACACCCTCTTTGGAGGAAGAAGAAGAGGAGGAGGATGAGAAGGAGGAGGAAGGAGGGGAGGAGGAGGAGGAAGAGGAGGAGGAGGAGAAAGAAGCAAGAAGCAAAGAAGCAAGGGAGAGAAGGGAGGTGGGAAGAAGGAGAAGAAGGAGAAAGGAGGGAGGAGAGGAGGAATGGAGACAAGTTGTGAACAGCTCCAAGGAATGGGATCAATCATTTCTTCAGGCTTCATTCTGAAGTTAGACCTGAGCTGGGTAGGAATGCTAGCCTTTGGGGGCGGGGGGAGGGCAGCTCCCTGTCACTTTCAGCAGCCTGAGGATTTCCCCTAGACTTTTAGGGACCTTGACTTGGGCCAAACCAGGATTGGTGACTTCAGTGCAGAAAAGAATTTTAGGATGTACCAGTTTATAAAGTAGAGTTGGGGTTTAATGAAGATACTTTAATATAGGCTTAAGTGCAAAGGTTAAGAGAAGCCCTCAGTAGAAAGAAAAGACACACCCAAGAGCACAGCTGTGGGCGTCTCAGAAAGTTGACCAAGCAAGACAAAGCCAAGTGGAGCACAAGCTCCTCAAGTGAGAGCCTCACTCTTTAACAATAGTCACGTGCAGGATTTTAGAGGAGGGCTTAGAACTTGGTCTTTCAAGAGTTGCTAAAACCCTAAATGAGATTACAATGGGATTCTTCATGGGTACCTGATAGGATTAAAATTGATAAGGTAAAAGTCTAGCCCACAAAGACACAGGAAGGTAGGGTATCTTTACCATAAAGTTCGCAGTCTTGAGATTCTTAGGTGATGTTTGCACAAAGGAATGAGGCCCTATCCAAGGTCCTATATATTCAGTACTTAATCCTGGTTCATTGTCACTTTACCATAAAATATCTATATATGAAAGTGATATTAACTATGGTGGCGGCCTTTACAGAAAATGTTGTTAGAATTCTTTTTTATAAACATTTTTATGTGGGGGGTGGGGGTAGGGGGTGTACATGCTTGTAGAGGTCAGAAGAAAACTTATATTGATTCTCTCCTTCCGCCATGTAGGTCCCAGGGATTGAACTCAGGTCATCAGGCTTGGTTGTAGGCACCTTTACCTGCTGAGCCATCTTATTGGCCCTGTATTGGAATTCTCAGTTGTTTAGAGGCTTCAGTCAGACTCTGGTGTGAGGGGCTCTTCTCCTTCCCCATGTTTCCATCATTTCCTGTCTTCCCACCTTGCCACAAGATTCGGACAAATGAAACAAACAGTGAAGCATTATTCTAAGTCAGGAGGTCAGGGTATGGGGGTGGAAACCAACATGCCATAGAAAAAGTATTCATGGGGTGGGGGAGGGAAAGTAGTAATAAAGTTATATTATTTAGAAAGGAGAGAAGATGTCATAGAAGTAGGAGATAGATGATGGTTTAAAATTATCATACCCATAGGCACACATGGTAGCTTACTCCGGAGGCAGAGGCAGGTGGATCTTGATCCAGGCCAGCCTGGAATACATAGCAAATATGTGTGCACCGTGTATTTACTTTTATCTCTTAATGTTACTCTCTGCCCTCAAGAGTGTGAGTTCCTGGAAGCAGGGAGTGTTGACTACCTCATGGGGGTCAGGGAAGGGAGCCAGTGATCCAGGGATAAGTCTACCACAGCAAGTCTCCTCTGGGTTCCAAATTCTTGTCAGTTTAGCATTTCACCATAGAATTAGGTTGGGATCTGACCCTACTTCCTTCCCCACTCCCTCTTTTGCCCTCTCATCTCTTTCATTTTTGAGACAGGGTCTCACAGTGTAGCACAGGCCGGCTTTGAATTTGATGCAATCTACCTAGCTCAGGTTCCCAAGTACTAAGATTACAGGCATAAGCCAGCAAACCTGGCTAAGCAGGGCTGTTCTTATTGAGTACAGAGCCTGTCATAGCATCAGATTAGCAATGCTTAAAATAAAGAGAAGTTCCCTTGTTTTTAGTTTCATAGTTATAATTGTGGTCTATACACAATTTTATGTCCATATTTTTCTTAACATTGAATAATTTCACCATTTTTGTCATTTTGCTTTTATTTTCTTCCAACTTGAAATTCAAATCTACAGAAAAATTAAAAGAAAATGCAATAGAAACCTATGTACCTCTCATCTCTGTTTGTTTGTTTGTTTATTCATTTATTTATTTATTTATTTATTTATTTATTTATTGTAAGCCCAGCTGGCCTTATTTATTTATTTATTTGAGACAGCTGTAGCTCCAGCTGACCTGGAACTCACTATATAGACCAGGCTCGCCTCAAACTCACAGAGATCCTCCTGTCTCTGCCTCCTGAGTGCTAGGATTAAAGGCATGAGCCACCACGCCCGGCCACATTCCTCCTTATTTTGAGACAGGGTTGCACTCTATAGCCTCAGGCTAGCC